GTGTGTGTGCATTTAGCGCCCAGAACTGCGCGATACGAGATACAATTAGAGAATATGATACGTGCCATTGATCGTGACGGAAACGCAAAGCGATCGCGGGACTCGCGGCGCGCTCGAAATGTCAACGAGTGACCGGCGTTGTTAAAACGATCGAAGGGCTGGTTTTACCGAGGGAGGATCAATTTTCATCTCCCGTTTAATGCGCTCTACGTCGTTTCCCGCGGGTAAAAAAAAAGAGGTATTCTCGGTCAAGATTAATTGGCGGTAAAACTGGTCTCTCGTGCGGACGAAGATTTCTTTTATCCTTGCGATTGCATCCGCTCGATGGGCTGGACGAGTACTTAAAGACATTCGCCAATTCCCCCTTGACTCTCTGATCGTCATCCTTCCGCCGTGTAAGGTATACATAATATAAATGTATATATTTATGATTGTCAAAGGTGTCCGCGCATATTTTTATGTATGTCAGGAATGAAGTCCCGCAGTCTGTACAGATCGATCGTTGTCTCGCTATCGTGCTCGGTGTCCCTTCACTTTTGTATATAAAACTGTAAAAGAATGATCCCCCTCGTCCTTCCCTGTCAGCCACGAGCGCGTACGTCCAGCCCTACAGCAGGAAGGAAGAGAGCTTCCCAAGTGTCTACGTTGCTTAATTGTCGTATCGTTTCGCTTTCCTTTCCACCGCGTCTTTTCCTCACGCACGTCGTCCTCGGAAGAAATGAGAAGAGGCGGAGAGCGCCGGAAAGGCGCTCGAAGTCGCGTTGTACGAGTGAGTGCGAGAGCGGGAGAAAAAAGGGCAGAGCGAGATAAGAGCGAAAGGGTGAGAAAACGGAGGGGGAGGCGAGTTACGGACATCTGACATATCAAAACGATTCTTCTTGACAACCACATAGCAATACCTCTCCGCTCAATGATAGAAAAGTTTTTAAAAGAACGAGAGAGAGAGAGAAGAAAACATGTAGCAATCTTCCAAATGTAACAATCTTCTTAATCGGCGGCGGGCAGGCTCTTAGGAACTTTGTATCTCCAGTTAGAAGCCGTAGATAAATCTAGATACGCTTAGCTGGATGCTTATAGAAAGAGCTGGGACGCGAGAAAGGCTTCTGGATTTCGTTGTCGATCGAATCCTTCGGAGATACTTGCAGATCTCGCTATGCTGACGCAAAGCTACGTAAAAGTTACTTGACAATCCGGCCGCTTCGATCGAGAACTAAACGAGCACGATTCGAGGAATTTGGCTTGAGAACAGTGTCATCCTCCGAGGATACCGTCGTACATGGGAAACGATTTCTTTCAGGGTCGCCAATTGTGAAAATGATAATCAAAGCGAGAATCAAAAGAGAGGAAATCTATACATTCCTTATTAATTTTGCGAAATTTTAGAAACATCGCTGTTGACAGCCGCATTATATTTACCTGTTGATGTATCCCTTGCGAACAAAATATACACTGTGCGAAAAATATTCAGACGCCTGACTTTTATCAAACGACACTGTAATGCGTAACGATAATCATCCGCGAAGTTAATACAACGGCGACTCTAAATCCAATCGTAACGTTATCAAATAAAAGGCGTCGCGAAAGCCGCGAATATTCCAGCGTTTCTCACGATTTGTGTATGTGTACCGTTCCGCGATACCTTCTGCAAAATTGCATCGAGAACACGAGGAAAGAGAGAGCAAGGAGAAATCGTCCATCGTTAATTTCGTACCGTGACGTAACAATCGAAGAGGAAGAGACAACGGATCGCAGAATCAAAACGAAAGCGAGACTTGAAATACACAGCGAAGATGATTAAAGGCGGGTGAATTGCAGGATCGGAGGGCGAGTGGCTTTTTCCAAAATCCAAGTCGACTCCACTTCAATTTACTCTATTGGCTGCGTGTATCAATTGTATCTTCCTCGGTGCGCAAGTCTCTTCAATCTTAATCCAATTGACCCGCCGTCGTTGCACGAAGATCGTTCAGATCCCGATCTCAAGAAGTAATCCGTGTCTTTCTCTCTCTCTCTTCAGATATCTGTATCATTACGTAGACTCGCGTGTATGCGAGTATAGGTTCTCAAATGTCACGTGTTAAAAGGGCGTGACAACACCGATACGTAAACGGTAGCTAAAAGGTGCGACAGACCGCGAGGGCAAACGCTGACGAGCGGGGCAGACGGCGAGAACGCCTGGGCCCCGAGGACACAGGACGACGAGACGTGTTCGCTAGATGCAAGGATACGTACTACAGTACAAGATAGACAAAGAGAAAAAAAAAACGTTTGTAAGATATCGACTAGGGTACCGAGACGAGAGTTTCCCCTGTATATTTAGCAGTACGGCAGAGAGACAATGTGTAAATGTATGAAAGATCTGTCCCCCTTCCCGTCCTCCCCTTCCCCCGCGTCCGCTCCCTCGAGCCTCCGCGCCATCCTTTTCCTCCCTCTGTACGACGAGTGTAAAAAAATATCATGTAATTAACACACCGATAAATATACATGTATATATATATTTATTATATATAAATATAAATATATATGTACACGCGTATGCGCACATGGGCGCGTATACGCGCACGGGCACGGCACGGCACGTACGCTCGTCGTATACGCGCGCTATGGCGAAGATGATTGATTGTGAGTCATTTAAATAATTGTTATATGTATTTTCTATATATTATGATAAACTAATATAATGAGATATACATATATATACATATATGCATATACATATATATGTGTGTGTGTGTGTATATATATATATTATATTGAGATGACATTACGGTACTATTAACTATTAAGTGTAGCTAATTTAGAGACTAAGCGGGGGGATACTGTCCGCGCGATCGCGCGCGGTTAAAAGTTGGCCCGCTCTCCGCGGGGTCCGACGCTTTTTACAATACACTCTCCGCACATTATCGAGAACGAGAAGGGAGAAACGAAGGGATGGCAGGCGGGAATTGCGCGCGCGCGAGCCACTCGAGACGGCGGCCCCTGCCAGCGGTCATCTCCCTTTTCTCGGCAACGCGAACGGCCGTGGGGCGCGAGGCCGAACCGGAGAGTAAAACTAAAAAATAAAAATGGCGATTAGGTCGCGCTCCGCGGGTCGCGCTCGTCTCGAGTGTTCGCGCGTCGGAGATCGACGACACTCGGGGGGGAAGGTAGGGCAAGGGCGAGGGCGGGAGGTACACACGTGACACGGACAACACACAAACGACGCATGCACATACAAACAGACACACGCCGAGTGACGAAACCACAACGCGGAATTTGCAACAAAAAAATAATGTATTTTCTCACTCCCACTGCGCGAGGTGTATGTTCATCGCTACGTCTTATTTGGAACGAAAACCTAAATATTATATTATATAAAATTACTGTATAATTGTAACGAAAATTGTTTTTCAAACGATATGGTATTTTTATTGTAGATATTATTATATAACAAATAAAAATCATGATTCATTGTATCCATTTCTCTTTTCGCCAAGTCGACGATCTTGTCCCTTTTTTCTCTCGCGATTGAATAGAAACGATTGTCCAGGGCCGCGGTCCGATTCGCGCTTATAGCGCTGTAAGCATCGTACCTGTCTTCGTTTAACATTTTATGTACCGCGAGGACAGATTGATGCTCACAGCGCTGCGAGTGTGACTCGGGCCGTGCCCAGTGAGAAATGATTCCCAGTGAGAAATGATTCGTCGATCGACGTCGAAACGACGTCGAATCGACATCGACACCGTCGAATTGACGTCGATTCGACATCATTTCTCACACTGGGTTCGTCGCTCGATGTCGAATCAACGTCAATTTGGCGGTGCCGATGTCAATTCGACATCGATCGACGAGTCGTTTCTCGCCGGGCGGCCTAGTTCGTCTCCAAGTTAGAAGAATGTATGCGTCTTACCTTTGGAAGATGACGTTCGAACTGCGATCGGCCGCGGTGGAAGACGAGGCGATGGAATTCCCAGGAAGTAGCGCGCGAGACGACGCAGTCTGTCTGATCTCGCATCCGCGACGTTCTGCAAATCAAGCGCGAACGCAATTCAGACGTGGCGAAGATGCAGATGAACGTGGATTGTACTTACCGATCGGAAGAATCCGGCGATCCGCCGTCCCTCGTCCTCGCGAGCGAAATGCAAGCGCGATCAAGATGGCGGCGGGCCTCCGTTTCCCGCGCCGCGCGCGGTCAACTTCGCGCGTCCCGAGACCGACGGCACACGCGAGACGCGCAAAAGTCGTAACGACGAAGCCGGTCTGATCTCGCACCCGCGACGTGCTGCAAATCAAGCGCGAACGCAATTCAGACGTGGCGAAGATGCAGATGAACGTGGATTGTACTTACCGATCGGAAGAATCCGGCGATCCGCCGTCCCTCGTCCTCGCGAGCGAAATGCGAGCGCGATCAAGATGGCGGCGGGCCTCCGTTTCCCGCGCGCGATCAACTTCGCGCGTCCAGAGACCCTCCCGCGCGTAACTTCGCGTTGGTACACATTCCGCATTACCGAACCACAATTCTGCAATAACAGAGAACAATACATACTCGATCTTTAGAACGGTTATTATTTCGCATTATTGCGCAAGATGAATTGATATCCGCGCGATCCTCGCGAAATCCGAAAGCACGACAATCAGTTTGTCACTTTTACGCGCGTAAAGCCCGTGTCAGGATGCAAACTCATAGAGTGCAAACTCATAGAGCGGAACGGTGTACGCGGAAAATCGCGGAGCGAGAGCCTTGACCAATCACGAGCGTTCCGCTGTTTTCGGTGTTGGTCAAGGCTCTCGTTCCGCGATTTTCCGCGTACACCGTTCTGCTCTATTGGCCGGTATTCATAGTCTATTCTATTGCATACGGTAGTTATTTAAAAATACGTTTATTTTTATCGTTAAAAGAGGATCCAAAATACGCGCCATGTTCTTTTATTGAAAACTCTATTCAAATGAAGCGGCGATTGCCTGAATCCTATTGGCTACGGAATATCGGCGTCCATTTCGCGGAAGCACGCGCCGCGAGCGCCACCGACAACTTCCTCTTCGTCCCTTTCTACGACGTGTTGTCCGGTCGCCAAGATGCAGAAGGTGAGTCCCGCGATCCGTCTTCGCGATCGAAATTGCACGGTTGACGCGAACATGAGTAGGTACTGATCGAATCTCCCTCTTTCTTCTCCCAGAAACAAAAGGAACCGATCCACTCCGTGCAGGTCTTCGGACGCAAGGTGAGCCAAAGCGCACTTTGAGAGGTTAGGTTCGCGCGTGGCGTGTTCTGACGCGAGTCTTCTTGTTGCAGAAAAGCGCGACCGCGGTCGCCTACTGCAAGCGTGGCCGTGGAAATCTCCGCGTCAACGGTCGGCCGCTGGAGCTGGTGGAGCCCCGCGTGCTGCAATACAAATTGCAAGAGCCCATACTGCTGCTGGGCAAGGTGAGCGACTGCACGGGTGGCTCAACCCGTTGAAGCCCTTCGCGGCGGGGGAGAAAGATCGCCGGTGCAAAGCCTTGCGCAAATCTGTCGCGTCCGCTCGTAACCGTGTCCTGTGATGTTCTACTTATTCCGAACATGATGGTTCATGATTTAGCTGTAACAGTCTGAAAGCGACCTCACCCTCGAGCCGCCGCGAGCGAGTGTGAGATGCGGCTTTTCATGAAACGACCACGCCTCCGTTTATGTTCCAGGAGAAGTTCTCCGGAGTCGACATCAGAGTGAGGGTGAACGGCGGCGGTCACGTCGCGCAGATCTACGCTATTCGGCAGGCCATTTCGAAAGCTCTCGTGGCTTACTATCAGAAATGTAAGCGTAAACGAACAGTTTCTGTTTGCGCATTTACTTTGACGCAATTGTAATCTAGTATAGATTCATTTATGCAATTTACTCAGATGCAATTGCAATCTTGTATGGATTTAACTTGTGTGATTTATAATATTTTGTAGATGTCGACGAAGCCAGCAAGAAGGAGGTGAAGGACATCCTCATCCAGTATGACCGTACGCTCCTTGTAGCTGACCCAAGGCGGTGCGAGCCAAAGAAGTTTGGCGGTCCAGGCGCCAGAGCGAGATACCAGAAATCTTATCGTTAATCTCCACAAAATTTACGTCTTATATTCATATTGAATAAAAAAAAAAACTTAAATCTATGCATTCTATGCATCCTTCCCTGCCCATTTTTTGCGTAACCAAGACTGTACATTTTTCTTATATCTTTTACTTGTTTCATATATAAAGTTACTATTGGCCAAATAGCTTCTATTATTAATATGCCTTGGTGTCGAATTGATGAGACGCCCGCCTAGCGTGTAGAGAAATCCAGGTTTAAACCCTGGCTGTGGTAATATTTTCCGCAATAAGTTTTCTGTATTGTTAAAATTGCCGGATACGATCAAGAAAACACCGATGTTAATTACTGCTGGCGACATTTAAGAATATTCTTATTAGTGTATTATTAATATTCAAGTTCCCTGAAACGAGTAAAATTATTTTCAGAGTATTTATAACTGACACAGATTTAACTTTTCGTAAAACTGACGATTCTTTTTTCTTTAATTGTGCTCTCGCACTCGTAAGTTTACGTCCACTCGGTTGAGAGAGAGAGAGAGAGAAAAAAAACAAGTCAAATAAAATTTAACAGATAACACGATTTATAGATAAGATTAATTTCGCAAAAAATTCTCGATAAAAATGTTCGTCTGCATTTTATTCGCGTGCGTGACGCGACTTGTCGCTCATTCTGCGCGCGTGTCTTCTTCGAGCAGTCATATTGTGCAAGCTAGCAACGTAGGGCCAACTGTCAGAGTGTGCCGAGCTGTGGCTGTTTTTCCATAAGTTTTTCAAGGAGGAGTCCAAAGATGAAGACGAGATTTAACACCTACGATCTTGTATGTTCGGTAACTGAACTGCAAAGGTAAAGGGGCGAGACGAAAAGAACGTAGTTTTATGTTAACAACAGTGTTCAGGTTATGGTCAGAATGTTCCGCTTCTCAAAACAGATCTTTTACCTGAAAAAAGACACACAATTTTATTATATCGCGGTAGATACTTTAATCAGTCGCAGCTCGTTTTCGCTGCTAAATAAATGTCGATACGAATTGTACGATAGTCGTGGGTTAAGACGAGCTCCCCAAATTATTTCACATCTTTGTAAATGCTTTCAGGCTCGTTGGCATGCGAGTGAATCAAATATACGATATAGATCACCGCACGTATCTTATACGTCTTCAGCGCAGCGAGGAAAAATGCGTCCTTCTGCTCGAATCCGGCAACAGAATCCACACCACGGTATTCGAGTGGCCGAAGAATGTAGCTCCTTCGGGCTTCTCCATGAAGGTACCCGCTAAACAATAATAACGTTAAGTTCTAACACAGCTCTGCCGGTTACACAAGTACGTATTTTGCAACCTGTATAATTTCACAGATGCGCAAACACCTTAAGAACAAAAGATTGGAGAGTCTCGTGCAAGTCGGTACGGATAGAATAATAAAGTTGCAGTTCGGAAGCGGCGAGGCTGCCTACCACGTGATCTTAGAGGTGTACGATCGCGGTAATATAATCCTCACTGATTACGAAATGGTAATTTTGTACGTGCTGAGGCCTCATACGGAGGGAGATAAGATTAGGTAAGCGCACAAAATGTATCTGCAACTTTGTACACACATGGCACCGTACAACGTGCTGATAAAATCCTATGATATTTAGATTCGCAGTGAAGGAGAAATATCCCCTGGATAGAGCTCATTCCACGACTATGCCACCTGTAGATGTGATCCGTGAACACATTGAGAAAGCTAAGGAGGGAGATACTCTTAAGAAAGTGTTAAATCCACTATTAGAATTTGGTGCAGCTGTGATCGATCATGTTTTGCTCCAGGCGGGATTCAATCTTGGTTGCAAAATCGGTAAGGATTTTAATATCGCTGAAGATATGCCAAAATTAACCCGAGCACTTGAGGAGGCAAATAACATGATAGATCACGCGAAGAAAAATGTCTCAAAGGGCTATATAATGCAAAAGAAAGAATCAAAGCTCAATCAGGATGGCAAGGAGGATTTTATATTTGCCAACATTGAATTTCACCCGTTTTTGTTCGAGCAATATAATAATCAGCCTTACAAGGAGTTTGATTCTTTTGACGCCACAGTAGATGAATACTTTTCTACAATGGAAGGGCAGAAGATAGATTTGAAGGCTCTGCAACAGGAGAGAGAAGCCTTGCAAAAATTGGAGAGAGTGAGAAAGGATCACAGCCAGAGATTGATCACGTTAGAAAAGACGCAGGAAGTAGATAAACAAAAAGCGGAATTGATCTCGAGGAATCAAACTTTAGTGGACAACGCTATACTGGCCATACAAAGCGCCTTGGCGAATCAGATGTCTTGGCCAGACATTCAAGTTTTGTTGAAAGAGGCTCAAGCCAGGGGCGATCCTGTCGCTTCTGCTGTAAAACAATTAAAATTAGAAACGAATCATATTGCTCTATTACTGCACGATCCCTATGAAGACAGTGATGAGGAATCTGAGCTCAAACCTATGATGATTGATATAGATTTAGCTCACACAGCGTTTAGTAACGCCAAGAAGTATTACAGTCAGAAAAAATCAGCCGCGAAGAAGCAACAGAAAACGATAGAATCCCAGGGGAAAGCTCTGAAGTCGGCGGAAAAGAAGACGAAGCAAACGTTGAAAGAAGTACAGACCATACACACTATTAATAAATTAAGGAAGATGTATTGGTTTGAAAAATTCTATTGGTTTATCACATCTGAAAATTATTTAGGTACGCATTTCTTCTAATAATTTACGTCGAAACTTTATTAACTTTGACATTGTATGAAAATATCTAGTGATTGGAGGGAGAGATCAACAGCAGAACGAGTTGATAGTGAAAAGGTATCTAAAGGCGGGGGATTTATACGTTCACGCAGATTTAACTGGTGCTAGCTCTGTCGTGATAAAAAATCCCAGTGGCAATCCTGTACCGCCAAAATCGTTGGCAGAGGCAGGTACAATGGCTGTTGCATACAGGTATATAGTTACGGCGGTTTTTACTCTTACAACAGTAGAAGCATCAAATTTACACATGTATTATTATATTATTATAAATATGTAAACATGTTTAATCTTATATTCATAGTATAGCATGGGATTCGAAAGTAATAGCCAGTGCATGGTGGGTGCATCATGATCAAGTATCCAAGAGTGCACCTACTGGAGAATATCTTACTACTGGTTCCTTCATGATACGCGGGAAAAAGAATTACTTGACGCAAAGTCAACTAATTATGGGATTGGGTATCATGTTTCGCTTGGAGGACAGTTCCATAGAACGACACAAGGACGAGAGAAAGGTGAAAGCAATTGATGAGGAAAGCGAGAAAGCGGACTCGATAGTTGAAGATGATAAGGAAATAGAATTAGAAGGTGATTCGGACGAAGGTAAACGATGCAAATCATTTAACATTTAATTAAATTATTCTTTAATTGCTAATATATTTTTGGAAACTTGTAACTTTTAATATTAGAAGAGACTCTGGAAAACAAAGATACGTTAAATCCAATTCAAGAAGAGGATCAGGAGTCAGAATCCCACACAACAAATAGTGATGCTAAAAAAGATACATGTGAAGAAGATGATGAAGAAGATACGAAATATCAGTTTCCTGATACACAAATTAAAATTGATCTGTCAGGTCCGAAGTAAGTAGATATAAAAATGTTCCATTATAATCGATCGTTCAATTAGAATCAAATGATATGACACAATTTTGCATCAAACAGGGTAAAATTACACATTGATAATAATCAGCCTTTGATACAATCTCAGAAGGACACAAAAGAAAATGTAGTTTATTTAGGAGATGATAAGCCTGTTATGATAAATGCATCTGTAGAGAAACATACAAAAGTGAAACAAAAAGCATATCCAAAAGAATCAACAGAGAAGATTGAACAGACTGATAAGAATGAAAGCGATAACAAAAAAGGAGAGCAACCTGCATTAAAACGAGGAAAAAAGGGAAAACTAAAGAAAATGAAAGAAAAATATAAAGATCAGGATGAGGAAGATAGAAGACTTTCAATGCTTGTCTTGCAGGTTCTATTTTAGATCTTTTTAATTTTACTGAATACTTGCTCTCTAATTTTATTAATTTAATCTAATATATATTTTGCCAATTATTCAGTCGGCAGGTGCAGCCAAAGAAGATAAAAGAAAAAATAGAGCTAAAGATCCATCAGGTCCAAAGCAACAAGGAAAGAAAAAGACCAATCCGAATCCAAAACCAAATATTCCACCGCAATCCATGCATGTGATAGATAACGTTGACGACGAAGACGCGGGTCCGATTCCTGAGGTTGATATGCTCGATCAATTAACAGGAAAACCTTTTTTAGAAGACGAGTTACTGTTTGCTGTTCCTGTGGTAGCACCTTACAATACTTTACAAAATTACAAGTAAGTAATTATATAATATACTTGATAATTGAGTATTTATATAACTTTTTTTGTAACATATTTCAATATTTATTTTAGATTTAAAGTAAAATTGACACCTGGCATTGGTAAGAGAGGCAAAGCTGCCAAAACAGCTATAGCTGTATTTCTCAGAGACAAAGAAATTTCTTCACGTGAAAAAGACTTACTAAAGGCAATTAAAGATGAGACAATAGCTAGAAATATACCTGGAAAAGTGAAGATAAGCGCCCCTCAGATTCAAAAACTAAAAAAATAATTAAAAAACTACTTTTAATTCAAACAGGTGATATCTTAATTATTTGCAGCACAAATTTACTTTTAAAGAAATTGCACATTTTCTTTCAATTACACAATATTTCATGAATATTAATTGACAAAAATATTAGGTATATATATTTTTTAAATGAAACTGAGATTTACTGTTTATAAGGTTACCACGTGTTAAAAACAAATATTCAAGTTTGAATATTTAATAAGTATATGTGTATGATATGTAAATATATAAAATCTTTTTGAGGCAATTAAATTTTATAATTCTTTCAATCTATTTTGAAATTTTGTTATCTGAAAATATATAGGCGAACTGTTTTCCCAAATGGTTATTTACTTGTGCGATTACATTGTAAAAACACTGAAGATTCTGTTACCAGTATACATACAAAAGAATAAACATCATTCAACAATGTGCATTCAACATTTCATTTTATTACAGAGCAATTTTTATCATTATTTTAACAATTCATAAATTGAAATTTTTTATTTTCGGCAATTATACACATATATACAAAAACTCTAGATTGTTATTTGAATCATGATGAGCACGTTGTAGATAATGTTGTATAAATGATTATTAATTAAATGCGTAAATAATCACGTATAAAAGAACACAGTGTATAAATGCAGAACACAATTATATTCTTTAGTACAAATACTGTACATAATTGTACTTTGTTATTTTATTGTTTATTTTATATATCAAAACATCTCTTCATCCGATTCAGTTTCAGTTGTAGGTATTACTTTGTTGGACTGCAATCTACTCTTGGTACTTACTTTATTCCTAACAGCAGTCGCAGCAGGTCTTGACTTTGTTCCTTTTGATATAATCTAAAGATATATCGAAAGTATATGTTACACACTTATTTATATTTATATACTAATTGCATACTTCATTTTTATTTATATAAATCATATTGAAAAGTACAAATTCGTTAATTAAATGTTATTACCTCAGCCTCAGCAGTGGTTTCTGAATCGTCTAGAGACTTGGGCTTCCGTGTAATTGTACTTTTGGTCGGCTTTTTCCGTTGCGTTTTATTTGAACGGTTTGATGACTAAAATTAGAGAAATAAATATTTTAATAACAAGTCAGAAAAGGCATTAAACTTAAATCAAATCAAGAATTGCGTAACACACCCTCCTCTTTCCGACAGATTACTATAATTACCTGTATATTAGAATCGTCATCAGAATCATCCTGGATTGGAATCTTCTTTTTGCGCGATGGAGCTGTCGTTATCTTACTTGCTTTTTCAGTGGCTTCCGTTTTCTTCGCTTTTTTAAGAATTTGTATGTCGTATTCCTCATCAGAATCCATATCATCTAATACTTTCTCAATTTCTTTTAAATTACAACGCTTTTTGTCAATTACAACACCTATAGTACTTTGTCTTGATTTTTTCAGTCTTGACTTTTCATTTTCAGAACTCGGGACATCTGTACGTTTCGTACGGGGACTGCTTCTGACTCCATTTGCGGGTTTCTTCATTCTCTGTGTAGTTTTTTTAGGAGCAGTTGCCATACCAATGTTGTTTAATTGTAATTTCCCATCTGGTTTATGATTCAGTTTCTTTAAACCAGCTATTAATACTTCCTTCAATTTTTCATAAGATGGTATTTCGTTAAATTTTAGGCTGGCTACTAAAGTCATAAATTTATGTACAGCCTGTGGAACAGATCCCTGAAAACATTTGTCCAGGAAACTGTCCATATTATTGAAAGCCTTTTCTTTCTCTTTCTGAACGGTAGGCGGATCAAGTAAATTTTCCCATGGCAACGAACCACATAACCACATGATGATATTGTAACTCAAAATTTCTATATCGCTGCGACGTGTGGGTACTAAAAAGGCAAAGAAAAATGGTAATTAAAAGTATGACAATGATTTTGCTCATTTATATTCAAAAGAGATTGATTGATAAATTGTATTTGCATCAGGACTGCTAATTTTTATTAACATTTATTTCTACAATTTTTACCTCCCATATGAGCATCCCTGCTCGTATATTGTAAAGTACCGTTGTGTGCCTTCTTTGGGTCAACTTTCAATTCAGTGCTCGATGTACAGCGAGAAGCTAAGCCAAAATCCACTAAATAAACTTGATCATACGATTTCAAATCAAGTAACAAATTTTCACCTTTGACATCGGCATGTACATAATTCTTGTGATGAATATACTCTAAGATGTCTATCTAGAAATGTATCAGAATAATATATAAAGTATCCTTTTTAAAGCAACAATTTATTGCAATTTCTTTTTATAACTGACTTACTATTTGCAAAGCTAATTTATACACTACGTGCTCCGGAAACTGTCTGTTATTCTCCTCAAATATCTTCCATAAATCTTTCCCGTATCGGTCTATTACCAAAAATCGATATTTTGTATTTTTATATTCGTGACTTCCAGAAGCAACATATCTAGGCACCCCGAGCGCGGCAAGTTTCTTCTTTTTCTGCCAGTCATCAACTAAAAAGATACTGCGACGTGTTTATCTCTCGAATATTTTGTTATGCAATCAACTAAAAAGATACTGTGATATGTTTATCTCTCGAATATTTTGTTATGCAATTCGATAATGTTGTAGGCTGCAATTTTAAGAGGAATTGATCACGTAAGAGAACGTGTATTAAAAGTAAATTTTACTTTCAGAGACTTACTGTCATCTGGCTTACAGTTTCTCATGTAAAAATGCATTTCCACAAATAACGGACCATTTACGTGTGGTTCCTGAAACAAGTTTTCAAGAAAACAAGTCAGAACGAAGACCAAGGAAAAATAACAGCGAGAATAAGGATATGTAATATGCTTACAATTTTTATGACATTGTTATATTCCTTGGGAATGTTTCCTGAATACGGTGCAGCTAAAATTAATCAGTTATCAATTAATTAATCAATCCATCAATTTACCAAATAATTAAAGAACGTACAAAAGATACAGCTTGTACAAACGCAACGCAATATTTCGTAGCTCTTAATGTTTATGTTGTCGTTGCGCAGGCACTGTAGAAAGTTATATACATATAAAAGAGCTGCGCAATGACAATAAAACTCATATAGCAACGCGAAACAAAATTGGAGACATTCTTTACGCGTCTCTTTCGCAGATAACCGTGCATATAAAACTGTACAAAATTATGTACAAAATTCGCAGAGAAGAACGATCGATTTTGCACAACCGTCTACACTCCCGGGCGTTTTGCCGTTATGTTTACAACGCGTTGGCAGCGACGTAACAGCATCCGAGATTCGTCTCGCCTACCAGAGTAAACCTCGCCGAAGCCGCCGACACCGATCGACTTGCCGAGTATCCATCGGCTCTTAGACAGGTCCATGAGAATCTCCCCGGCCGGTATCGGCTCGGGCATTTGGTAACCTCCCTTTTTCTTCGGTACCCTCTTCGCTGCCTTCGCTGCCTTCGCCGCCATCGCGCGTAGTCGAATCCCCGAAGGTCAGAATCTGCGGAGAGCCCGGACGTAACAGGACAGCGATTAAAAAAAATAATAATAACGCGCGTGAAGAGCAATTGTGGTGGCGTTACGCGCGCGACCGGGACCGGGAGAACGCGAGGGAACGGCAAAGAGCGCGAGACTAGCCAGTGCGTGTGCCGTTACACGTGACGTCCGTGACGACAGGCAACCGCTTGAGGGAATTTAAATACTCGCGACACGGGGTGGCCAACTGACGAGCGCTGAATAGCTGCGCGCGCGCGAAAATCGCCCTGTGCTGTTGCCGCAAGATCCTTACCGATTCCCGCGGAAATAAACGTTGCTTCTGCGAGAACGGCGCAACGGGGACTCGTACGAATTCCGGAGCAGCGAGACTAGCGAGAGGTCAAACCCTTCAGTTGATAACTTGCGTCGCCATCGCGCGCGTCGCACACAGCGCGAAGGGAAGATTGGAGTCCTAGGGACTGACGTTGGCCGCCGTGGACCGCGCGCGCGGGACCGTCGTCGCGCCCGAAGTTGGCGCAGCCGGCGCGGAGCAGCGGCGCGTTGACTTGGAGGTTATGTCAGCCGGTTCCCCGAGGTGTCGGCGCGCGCGACAATGCGGACGGGAAACACGATCGCGGCCGAGCGATTCGCAGCAGCACGGGAGCGATTCTTATGAGGCGACTCGCGCGCGAGCGATCGAGCCCCGCACGCAGGAGTTGGCGCGCGCGCGCACGCGCGCACGCACGCGTCCGCCCGCCCGCCCGGTGGTCGTTTAGGTTATCTCCGTTTCTCTCCTCTCTCTCTCTTGGCGGTTCCTCCTTTCTCTTTTATCTCGCTTTTCCCTTTAAATGGAAGAGACCGCCGCGCCGGACTCGCCGAGATCGCAATCAGGGGAAAGCAACGTTAACGAGCCGAGCGTCGAGACGGTCTACGGTGACAATGACGCGGAACGTCACGGGGAGCGCACGCCGCAACAGTCCGAGAGGTGCATCAACAATTCCATTTTCAACACCATATCCAAGATCGTCAATCCCACCACGAAGGTAGGCTGCTCCGTTGTCTCCCGAAAGGTTTCTTTCGTCGTCTACGAGGGTCTCTTTTTGCTAGGCTTGTCCTGAGAACAGAACTCGATTGCGCCCCTGAGAGAGGACAGCGCTGGCTCCGCAGATGAGATTTTTTTCAAGGTGATGAAATTTGGTGCTTGGTCGACCGCATTACGCTCGTTGAATGAATTGTTGATTTCCCAATTGTTGCAATTAAAGTGGACAACTTGTAAATGAAGTTAGAGAATTACTTGATAGGTCGACGCGGTCGACTATCAAATTTGACTGACCTGAGAAACTTTCATCTCTGGAGCTGAGGAGGCGTTGAAAACACCCACTCGTGCGTGATCCTTTTGCATAATGTGTACATGAGCGAAACATGTGACTTTTCAAAATGGACAGAAATGTGAATATTTCTTGATGAGAGAAATCCTGAAAGCATACATTTTATTAGTTTTATGACTGTCGCGTTTTCTGCTTTAATGCAATTTCATGCTGACCTCTTCTTTTTTAACTTGTTTAACTCGCCAAGTTATACGAGTTTTGAACGTGGACTAAGAAATAGTAGTATGAGAATATTTTCAAGAACTGAAATAAGTAAATGTTAAGTCTTATAATTGAAGCGTGCAGTTCTGTACCTCGATTACGAATGATGTTAAAGTAAGAAATATCGATTACATCCCACCGGTAACAACGTGTACAAATAGCGTATTTTACAAGCTTGTTTTTTCATAAAGAAATTCGTGGTTCAATTAACATATTTAATAGTATTTTCTTTGCTAGGTGCCAGATATACAGGATTTTAAGATAGTAAAGCCGATAAGCAGAGGATCGTTTGGTAAAGTATTTTTAGGGTACAAGAAAACCAATTCCGAGCAGGTGTACGCGATTAAAGTGATGAAGAAGAACGAGATGATAAACAAGAACATGGCGTCGCAGGTGGTAATCGAGCGGAAAGCGTTAGCGCTCACTCACAGCCCGTATTGCGTGCAGCTCTTCTATTCGCTGCAGTCCATCAGCAGCGTGTATCTAGTCATGGAGTACATGGTGGGCGGCGATCTTAAGAGCCTGCTCGGCGTTTACGGTTTCATGGAGGAGTCCATGGCGGCGTTTTACACGGCGGAGGTTTGCCTGGCGCTCGAGTATCTTCACTCGCACGGTATTGTCCATAGAGACCTCAAGCCGGACAATATGCTACTCTCGCGCGAGGGACACGTCAAGCTCACGGACTTCGGGCTGAGTAAGATATCGTCCCTGCACCGGGATCTCGAAATATCGGATCTGGTGAACCCCACGACGCCGAGCCTGTGCACCAGGACACCCGGGCAGCTGCTCTCGCTGACGTCCCACCTGTCCTTCGGCTCCGGCCAGAAGTCCACCAACGAGTCGAATCTCAGCGACAGGAGCACGCCAGCCATGAACTTGCTCTCCGCGCTGCAGAGGAATTACAATCTTAAATCCGCGGAACATATGTCGCCGAACTCGGCCATATCTTCCGTCGCGTCCGGAGATTACTCTCGAATATCTGGTGTCACGCCCTTTCAATCGGCGGAGGATCTGCGCTTCGAGCAGAGCCACGAGGAGCAAAGTACGGAAGAGGACGAGTGCACCATTGAAAGTCGCGAGAATGGCCTGGTGGACAGCTCTAGCAGCTACCACACCTGCGAGGGATCCTCCACGCAGGCCAACACCCGTACCGATCAGACCGCGGAGGAGGAGGAGGAAGAGAAGGACGAGTCTACGCTCGAGGCCGAGCAGTCGCAGCATCAGTCTCTCGTGCATACCAGTCCTGTGAGCACGTGCGCCAATTCATTCGTGATTCGAGGATCGAAGAAGAGGAAGCGGGCCGACGCGAACGTAACGACAGGCTTGACGTGCGAGATCAACGCGTTAGATCTGGACGTCGAAAAGACACCCAAGAGAAACAACCGCGATGTTATGTATCCCTATACGAGCCCGATCGACGTTGTCTCCACGAAGACGGTGTACATTATCGCCGGTCTGGCGGAAAACGATGGAAGCAGGACGCCGAATCAAGACACCGAGCAGAACGCTGGATCTGCGGGTAGGGTGGCCTTCAGCACGCCGGTATCCTCCGCCAGGCAAAGAGATCGCAACGAGAAGCAGCACCAGGAGGAGGACGACACCAAGACTCTGATCAAGACGAGATTTCGCCTACCGCCGTCGTCCGCCTCCCATTCCGCCCAGGATCCACACACGGACTCGGACAATACGTCCGAGGGTCATCGGTCGCCACAGGGTATCTCACCTATCAAGACACCCGCCAACTCCGGCAACTGTTACACGCCCTACCGAACGCCCAAGTCCGTGAGAAGAGGCGGCCAGGGTGGCGTCAACCGATCGGACGATCGCATACTCGGTACACCCGACTACCTCGCTCCGGAGTTGTTGCTCAAGCAGGGTCACGGGCCGGCAGTCGACTGGTGGGCACTGGGCGTCTGTCTGTACGAATTCTGCACGGGCCTGCCGCCGTTCAACGACGAAACACCACAGGCGGTGTTCGCCAACATTCTTGCACGCGACGTACCGTGGCCGGAAGACGAGGAGGCCCTGTCGTCGGCGGCGACCGGTGCCATCGACGCGCTCCTCACCCTGGATCAAGCCTCCCGTCCCACGGCGAAGGAGGTGCGCGCCATGAGCCTCTTCCGCGACTTTCCCTGGGACGAACCGTCGAAAGCGGTGCCCCCGTTCATCCCGCAGCCGGACGATAAGTATGATACGTGCTATTTTCAGAGTACGTCGCCCCGGTATTGTAATCTCGTCGTCGTTTCAGAAATAATACCGCGTGACACGGTGATTAAGAGTTTGAGCGCCGTAAAACGTGGGCTTCTAGTCATCCAAGTGTCAATCGGAAACGTCTAAATAGGTGTAAGAAGTTGCATTTAGTATAAACACGATTATCGTCCAGCAAGATTTCGAGTGGTTTAAGGAGGAACTTGGTAGTTTTCTATATATTTTCGTGAGAGAAGAGTACCTTAAAATTACACTTTTTCGACAGCATTCTGACGCGGTATTATTTTTTAAACGACGCTACCGTTACATAGTATTGGCGGCTAACGGGAGAACCTTTTTCTTTCTTTTTTTTCCAGCGCGGAATACTATGCAGCAATTGAATGTAAGTAGTTGCGATACATAATCTTCGGCGTATCGCATGCAGACGTGGCAAAAACAGAAGCCTATATAATATCGAAATCGTTACTATGTATAACTTTATTTTTTTTATATACTTGTGTATATGTATAGCAATATAAAATATAAACTATTTTGTTACTACTTGTAATCATCGAGTTTACTTCGACTTCTACAATAGATGAATGACGATGATTTTATTAAATGATGAGAGAACGTACACACAGGGCGCGATGACATGGAACTTGAAATGGAATGTCGCATAGTTAAAAAAGAGGAGAGGGAGGAGGGCTGATATCAAATTTTCCTTAAAAGGGAGGCGTTGTCACTTTCGATTACGAAGGTGGACATTTTTAATATCGCTATGAAGCTCTTGGTTAGGGCTCGACAGTTTTTATCACATTTTTTTGCGGAGCGAGTGCGATCGTTTTCACGTTTCTTCGGCGATCCCTCTCGTCGAGGAAACAGGCGACGGGTGCGAAAGGGACGTGGCGATAAGTACGCGCGTGTCTTCTACTTTAGATTCTTATAAATCCACGGCAAAAAGTGTGTCACTCTCGTGTACACGCCTGGGTATTGCCCCTTGCCACATCCTATGCCCCATGATACGATACCCACTTGCGTCCAGCGACCGTCGTTCACCATTAAGGGTCCTCCACTGTCGCCCTGTAAATGCAACATCATTGCGTCAGGTCTTATAATACATTTCGAATGTAAATATAAGTGTGTATCCCCCGTATTTTTGCCGCGAAGTGAAATCATCTGATTCTAACTTTCAATTTTCTTAAAAACTCAACGATTTTTTACCCAAACAATTAATTTTTTTACTGAAACTGATTGTAATTTTTAATTAATAGATAACTGTATCCGGTTTTGTGGGGTACGAATTGCGTTTAAAACAACGTGAACGGATGCCAACGAATGCACAAATACAAACCGAGCATGAATCCTTAGCGGCTCGACCGGCGCACAGGAAACTGTCAACTATTCCACCTGGTGCCGCTGCACCGTATTTCAGTTTACACTCGCTGTTCGACCACACTGGTATTGAAACTTCTTGCAAAATCGCTGGCTGCGGCCCACCTAGGTGAATATAATCAATTGCTATTAGACTCTTTGCGCGAATACATTTCCTAAGAGACGCTCTAGAGCTTAATCCGTGAATATTTGCGCTACGAACGACCGTGCAAATTGGTCCTTCAAACGAGAACATTTAGGAGACTATATGAATGTTGATTACATAATTTTTTGGCCTAACTTAAGCAACAATCTTTCCCTCGACTCGCGCGAGTTACAGTACATATTTGTGCAAAAATATTCCTACTTTCTCTCAAAGAACCCCATCCAATGACGGTCGCCGTCTTGCCGGAATACAATTGCGAGCCGCTAGGAAGACAGATAGGCCGTATTTGTTCGGTGAATTCCACCGGCTCGCTTAGCGTAAGAAGCGCCACGTCGTTGTAGAGCGTACGGGAGTTGAAGCCTCGGTGCCTCACAACTCTCTTCACGCGTCTCTCGATATGACGAATCTCGGTATTCGTCTTAATATTGTAGTCACCGAGGCGAACTGTCAGTCTCGCGACGTCCCAAGAGTTCATACTGCAACAATGCAACATTTTCTTTTGTCAGATATTTCCAAATCATCAATAACTTTTATTATATATTCGTAATCTAGTTGTAAAAAGAGAGAGGCCCGTATTCTGAACCCTCTTTCGCGCATCTAAAAAGTGGCTAATAAGCAATTAAATAGCAGCTCTAGTGACGCCAGTCAAGAAATCAAGAATTTTAATAAGTATGGAAACGACCTTACTGGCAATTCTTTATTAAAATGAAGCACAACGTTTCGGCCAGTAATACTGGTCCTCCTCAGGTGACAAACTTACAAGAGTGCCTGCAAATGTAAGATTCGTCAGATTAGAGATGTGAAAATTAAGTTAAGAAGTCAGAAATTTCGTTGTACAACGTGACAGAATATTATTTTGTTTTTTAACGTTGACAACTAGACACGTTGTTCAACGAAATTTCTGACTTCGAACTTAATTTTCACATCTCTAATCTGACGAATCTTACATTTGCCGGCACTCTTGTAAGTTGGTTACCTAAGGAGGACCAGTATTACTGTTCGAAACGTTGTGTTTTATTTTAATAAAGAATTGCCAGTAAGGTCGTTTCCATACTTATTAAGATTCTTGGCTAATAAGCCTTCTGATTGGCTACAAGCCACTTTTAGAGGCACTTTTATCGATAAAAGAGGATTCAGAGTCTCGGTATATGTCAGTGGTAAAGAAATCGTTTTTTAAGCATCATATTTCAATCGATTCATTTTATTCCGCGAATGAGATGCCACGTGCAGGATAAAATGAATTGAACTCACTTTGCCACGCAGTGCGCCGCCGACAACACGTGCGTGTCGTCGATGAGCGATCCGCCGCAGAATTGCCGTCCAGCATTGAAGAGCGCGGCGATCCACGGCCATTCACCCGGGTCTGCATTTTTCCCTCCCACGATACGCTCTTGATCCTGATTGCCGTTCTTGGCACCGCACTGCGAATTGGCGAAGTCTCCGCTGATCGGAGACTTGCTGGTCGTCGACGTGGACGTCGACGAGGTGATCCACCAGCCTGGTTTCTTCGTCGGCCACGTGGTAGCGACGCTAGGTCTTTTCGAGCTCGTGCTGAACGTCGGTTTCGCCGTGGTGGACCAGGTCGGTAGACCGGGCGATGGTGGATGAGTCGGAAGTGGCGGTATCGTGTGGTCGGGCGGATGTGTGGGAATCGGTGGTGGCCAAGTAGGTGCTGCCTGAGGGCGTGCTATCCCCGCGTCCTCGCTTTTCTTCTTATTGTCCTCCACCTGGAACAATTTTTAATTTGTACTTTGGTTCAGTTGACAAATAGCGCGAAAACAGAAAGATTCTCAGGGACAGATGAAAGGAGTGACCGTGGTATTGCGCCCGACCTGAAGGAAGGAATGCGCGAACACCGGGCAATAAAGCGCGGGCCGTAAAAAGGCCTTTTGTGAAATCGTATTGCCGAATCGACGCGGCAGAGATATAACTTTCTAATAGGATCTAAGGGGCTTTAATTCGGATCACGTATAATGTTTATGAGTTCCCGGTAGGGAAAGTGATTACCGCCAACGGAACGGGGAACGCGTGCGCTCGCGAATATTAGATTTTATGGAAGATATAACTGAGTCGCGAAACAGCTGACGAGTCTTCGGATGCCTTACCTGGGGATGCTCTACGGTAGGATTGTCGCAATTGTCGGGATCAGGCGTGACAAAGGGATTCAGGTTCGAGCAACAGATCCCGAAGCTCGGGCTTCCATCCTCGCGGAAGTAGCTGCACGTGTCGTAGACGCCGAGGACCCAGCCGTCCAGAGCACCAAGGTCCGGAATCTTGAAGTACGGATAGCACTCCTTGAAGGTCGTGCAACGACCGATCTCGCCTTTCGAAGTCAGGCAGGTCTCGCGAGTCGTGGCTCCGTTCCAAAGAATGCCCCGACCCTCCCTCGATCCGAACTGATCCGGATCGATCGCGGCTGCAAATCGAATTGTATATATATCATTCATTAATTTTTGTATGATAGAAAGTAAAGCATATTCCTATTCGCAGGATAATTAGAGGCGCATTCGCTTTTGCTTTCAATTTTTATATCTTTAATTTAAAACAAAAATTTTTTACACATTCTGTGATTGTTGTCTGTTTGTGATCTTCTGTCAAGCTGGCTATCGTGCAAATTTTTATGAGATTTATTCAAGCACGTTTCTTCAGTCTTTACCCGTTAAAGTGCCTGTACGTTATCGTGTTTACCATCGCGGAATCAGGATGCATCAAGCATATTTATCTCAGCACGTACTCAAGAATACTTGTGCTTTAGCATTAATGTCCGGATACATTAATATACATGACGTGTGTGTTTTCCTGATGTCAAACAGAACTAGAAAAAATTGCGATAAAATTATCGGGACATCGTCCCTTAGGTCCGATTTCATCAAACGTCGCTTAACTTTAATCCTAGTTTAATTCGTGTTTGTTTCTTTCTGAAGTAACAGCTGGAAAGAGACAAAGAACGAATTAAACTAAGCTTAAAGTTAAAGCGACGTTGGTGAAACCTTAATCGTATCGTCTGCAAAAGATGCGAGTTTATAATCGCGCTGAATATATATCACGAATAAATCGCGTGCAAGTGAGCTGAAAGTGTAGGCGAATTTCTAGAATTTGTTTATTCCGTTACGGTAAAAAATGTATTGGGTTGATGCATAAGTTCGTCCCGTTTTTAAATTCGCGCACTTTATATACGAATTCGATCTGCTATCAACTTCGCACTTATATGACGTATTAAACTTTTGAAAGTAGCAATTGAACGAAAACTTTACTGTCAAATTTGTTGTCGTCGATTGATGTTTGTGAGTCGTGTAAATTTATAAAGATGGATAAAAATAAGCATCACTTTCGGCATATTATGCTTTTTAGTTTCGAAAAGACAAAACTGCCTTCAGTTCAAACTAAAAGAAAAATGTGTTCTGTTTATGGAGAAGGTGCTATTGATGATTCCACCGTTCGTAAGTGGTTCCGACGATTTCATAATGGAAATTTTAATCTCACGGATGAGAAACGTTCTGGACGGCCTTCCGATATTGACAGTCACGAAATCTTCCCTAGCGGAAAAAAAATTCTATAAATAACTACAAAAAATTGACTCGAAATAGAAATTTGTAGAAATTTTTATATCTTCTTTGAAACATTAATTTTTTTTTGTAAAAATATCTACGAAATAATACCACAAATTACAATGTTTTCAAATCAAGAAATTATTGCAAGTAGTATTTCATGAAAATGTACAATTTTGTAAAAATGAGTACAAAACTGTACTAGTTTTAAAAATTTGAGAAACAACAAAATCTTAAAGAATTAAAACATCTGCTTACTTGTAGAATATTACAAAAATTAACAAGTGTTCCAGTTCTAGCATTTTCGTGTTGATTTTTATAACACGTTTTGCATTTACGTAGAATTTCTTAGATTCTAGCAGTATATTTTATTTGTTTTGTAGAATTTTGTAGATGTAGAATCATTTCCGGCAGGGTTAGCCTTGATTGAAGCTGATCGTCATAAAATAACTCGTGAGACAAAATACAACAGGTATGAAATTTTTGGTTTAAAAACGGGACGAACTTATGCGTGAACCTAATATTGTTTGTATTATTGAGTTATTGCGCTTTCGAATAGGACTCGGCACGTATGTTTGTTTGTTGTCACATGCACGACACGGCTAATTGATCACGTGATTGGGGTGACTGAAAGAAAAAGGGCAATCGCGTCGCTTCTTAAGAAGCATTTGCTTTTCTTATACACAGTTGCTTTCCGTCCAAAAGCATGATTAGAAATTATGTGCGAGAGGGAAACATTTATTTTTAATGCTGCCGACTGCGTAAAATTCGTTTTGCACAGTGAATGATCGAAACGTCATAATAAAATTCCATCGAAATACTTAGCAGCGAGTTCGCTGACCTACGCGAGGCACACAGGTGCACACGTACGTCGAAGGTGAGGTTTGTGCGCGCCGGGAGAACTTCCTGTTGCCGTGTATGGGACGTACAAATGATTATTTTCTTTCCAATATGTATTGCACCTGTTAGAATTCACGATCATTGAAAGCAAACGTCAAGAACATGAGAAATAAGGTCATTAACCAACGAAGGAAAAGCCGCGCAGAACGGCCGTTGTTTTTTTGACTAATGACCTGTCGAGATAATCGATGATATAACTTACAGAGGAACAAGTTCTCAGAGCAGTTATTATGTGTGAAATAAACAAGAGGATAGTGACATGATTCTTTTTTTTAAATATGCTTTAAACACATCGTCACGTAAAAGCTGAGATGTTTTAATTTTCGAAAAGAGGGCGATTGTAGGAATCGGAACATTCTTCCGTTTAGATCCTAATTAAAAATATATTTTGCTACATGCCATTGAGACAAATTTTAAACAAATCAAATTAATAGGAAGCAAGTAGCAGAATAGTATTGGAGAACAATGGGCATTCTGTACAAATCCCTCCTTGTCGATCTATAACGGAGAACTTTTCGCGTCGGTATTTACAATCGATCTTAATTTTCGCTTTACATCTGCATCACATTTCGAAGAGATTCGTCCGCGGAATTCTCAACTAAAGTCACGAAAACGGGACATCCGGTAGGCAGATGTAGACGAGACGTCGCGTATGTCATGAGAAATCTAGACGAGGAGTACATGTAAAATAATACTCGACAGTCGATACCGACCTTCGACGACGTCGGCGTTGTCGTCCTCCTCCAGGCGAACGTCGTCGAAGCTGAGTGATCTGGACAGGGACCCGACAGCCGCCGCGGGTACGATCGTCGCGATCACCTGCACCACGAGCACCAGCACCAGCATCGCGAAGGGCGACGGTCTGCGTGGCCGATTGTTCATACCCCGGGCTGCCAGAATAGCGTGCGAAGAACCCGAGACACCGCGGGAGAAGAGACAACGAACGGCGCGCGGGGACACGGGGACTTGCAGGTCCACGTGCGCGAACCACCGGCGGGGACCGTGCCGACTCCACTAGGCCGCCTAAGCCGCTGAATAGCCGCTGCTCGAGCTTATAACGGGCTCGCCCTCCTCCTCGCTACAACGCACACGAGGTGTTCTCGCGCACCTTTCTTCTCTTGCTCTTTTATCACCACCTCGATGGCCGCGGGGTAGAGGATAGGGCGCAGACACGGTAGGGAAGATAAACGGTAGGGATCAGACACGGTCTCCCTACGGTGATGCGAGAAATAATCGTTTTGGTTATTTATGCTCTGATGCGCGCAAAGTGGATTGATCTTATCGCGAATAGAGGATTGATTTAGAGCAGCCGAGGTACTTAGCTGTTCCCTGTGCTTTTCAATTACACAGGATGGCGCACGTGAAACCGGCCCCGAATACAATTTTACAGTTTTATTTAGTAACGATGTGCTGTACATTTGAGTTTTACATTTTATATGATGAATAAGCGGCTTTTGATTTTCAACAACTTGCGTGCCCTGCATTTTCTTTATCACCTGTATTTCGCGTTTGGAGCTTTGGTGCTACGCGCACCATCCTGTACCTTTAATAATGAGAAAACTATGAAGTAGAAATTACTTTAGATTATGATTGCAACACGAAACATGAATTTTATTGCATTTTATGATTTGCATGGCATGCTTCTCTGTTATTTACAATCTAAAGCTGTCTTTTATATTAAGCAAATGTATTTATTGTATGGTGCACAAGGCAGAAGAGGCCTCCCTCCTTTTCGTCACATATAATTCTTTGTAGTACGCACAATATTTATTTTGCATTATAATTCTACGTAATTAATCATTACAATTTCTACGTAACCGTTCGGAGTGACGTTCTTCGAGAAATATTCACGGTCTAAGCATATAGCGCGGGGACAATAACTTCCATCTGTGAATGAGACCTATCTCGATTATGTAAGCTATATGATGGGACCGGATCACGATCTCGATCGGTCTTCGATCGCACGCCTTGTGTTCAACTCGAATGCCGCGCAATGGCATTTGCATAGAGAGCACGATCCTTCGCATCTTGGCCTTGAAGATGCCAAGAGAAGGTTGTACGTAAGGGACGGCCGTGAACTTGCTTACCACCTTGATCCCCGCGCCTTCTGGTCTATCCCGAGACTACGCATTTATACATTTCCTTCCGCCGACGGCGAATATGGAACCGTCTTCTCTCCACTTGTGATCTTTTTCTTTATTCCCAAGCTACCTTCAACTCTTGCCTGTTGCACTTGTGTCACTCAACAGCATTATGCAAGAATATTATACACATTACCACCGTGATCCTCGCCTTCTGGTCTATCTCGACGCTACGTATTTATACATTTCCTTCCGCCGACGGCGAATATAGAACCGTCTTGCCTCCATGTGTGACCTTTGTGATCTTTTCTTTATTCCGGAGCTACCTTCAACTCTTGCCTGTTGCACTTGTGTCACTCAACGGCATTATGCAAGAATATTATATATATTGCAATGTAATATAAAGTTCAATATATATAATGTAAAGTAACAAAAAGATATTCGTTGGAGTAATTGTCCGAAGAAATAACGGAGGATGTTTTTACGTTTATACAAAGTAGCTTATGATCTGAGGCGAACGAGAGGCACATAATATTTTATCGCGTTTGCACGTCGTAGGCAAGCCTGTTTCGCTAGAAACAGTCCATTGGGACGAGATCTTCGATCTTTCGCGGAGGTATAAACAGTACCTTCCGCAGGAGAGCGAAAAGCGGAGGACCTTGAAGTGTACGTCAGGATCGCGATACCTAGGTCGACGAACCGCATCCACCAAGGGGTGGAGGGAGGAAGAGAGATTTTAAGTTCGTGCGTTCTTTGACCGTGCATTCTTTGTACGGTTAATAACCACTTACTGTCGACATTCGAGAAGATAAAGCCTTTTTTTCTTGTCGCTCGCGAAGCAGGGCTTAATAATCGATAATGACAGCGGGTTAGTGTCTAACTCGCCAAACCGGACCTTGCCGAAAATACACGCGTAGTATCAAGGCCCAGCGATAGGTGACGATCGTGGGTGGCGAGAATCTTGTAGCTTCGCCCTAATGTGCCTGCCACACGTTTGTACAACCGTCCATCGCATTTCGTAACGTTTATATTCGTTATCGACATAAAGTTCTCAGAGCGCGAGTCTCGAGAGGCTGAGACAAGGAGGCGTCTTTTGCTACTCAAGTTCAATGTTCTTGTTCGAGTCGTTGACCCATTATTATCAGAGCGTCATGCGATGTGTATGCCGGATATTCAGCATGCGTACGTAAAATTGGATTCGAGATTTCGCACTGACGTCGCTGTATTATAATATTACTGAATCTCGTTGGCAAAATCCTTCCTCCGAAACGTGCAAACCGGTTGGGCCGGGGTTACTTGTAATTAGCTGAGAGATATCGAAGTCGTCTGTTGCGGTTCTAACGACGTCATTCGAAAAGGAGGGTCTATGAAAGGAAAAAAAAGGGATATCTGTACGCCACGTGTCGATTGATAGATGAATAAAATTAAACAAGCGCGACGCTATAAATAGTCCAAGCTCTTTGATAGAATTCGTTATTTCTTGCTTATTCAGAAATGCCGTCGAAATGAGTGCAATAGTGTAATAATGTACTATATAAACACAAAGTGCTTCGTGAAACCGGTCCATGGATACTATTCCCAGACGGAAATTTCATTTCCTTTTATATGCTCTGCTACTACTCCTTACTACTCGACTTACTACTCTGACGCGATATAACGGAGTAGACAATAAAACTTCACTTTCATAACGTCATAAAAGTTGTACGCGTGATTGCTTATGAGTCGTTGAATCCTACTTGGAAATTACAATCCTGTTCCTGTTAGATAACAACGGTATGATTCAACTGTACAAACTATATTTACTTTCATTAGAAAAATTGTGCGCCTCTGATACTGGTTTAAAGTATTAACGGCGTATCATTTCAATTCATTATACCGCTCCGGAGCCTCAGATCTTTTTATAGCATTAATAATATTGATTTATCGTTTTTATGCGTGCTCATTTGTTGACATTCGCGTCGATGTGGCAAGCAAAACCTGTTAAGTAATTTAAGAAGCAGATCTAACTATATGCCGGCGTATGTGTGCGCTATGTATCTGTCGGAGCATTGAGAAATATCATTTTCGCCGATGGGCAATTTTATTGATCGTTTCCTGGGGAATAAACATCTCGCGGTATAATATGTGCTCCGATGTGCGGCATCTGCGAGGAAATAATTTCTTCAAAGGAGAAATTTTGTCCTGTTTTATGACAAGGAGTCCTCTCGCGAAAGAAGCAGTCCCAAGTAGAAACGCTCTTTAAAACTGTGCCATTGTTTGCCACGCGTATTCATAGATCCGTTCCACAAAATGTACGCTGTGCGCAACCGATCGACATGTGTTTCTATCGCGCGAGCAAAACGGAGAACAGCACAAATACTACGCCTAAGAACTATAATTCACGTCAGGGCCAGTGACCCTACAAGGTCTTGGATTCTCGCAGGATTGCCGTGATGCTTGCATACACACCAGCTGACTTCTAGCCGACGATGATAACCGCCTGACTAAGTCGCGCTGTAACCACTTACGCTCTCCGTCTCCCTGTTCCTTCTTGTGTCCGAGGAAATACGCAAGCTGCATCCCGTAATCAAGGCGCCAATTAATTTCCCCTCTGTAGTTTTTATTTGCAAACTGATCAGGCTCCCATATCTCAGAGAAATGCCAGGGGATTCTTACTTTAACGAGTACTTTCAAGCCTCTTTCTTTTGAGAAATAAAAGCTGTCGGAGTTTTCGCAAAAGATAAGCTGAAAAAAAAGTTTGACCAGAATCCATTGGAAAATTATACATTTTTCACACGCGCCTGTCAATTATTTTTAAATGCATTTCTACGGGACTCAAATGAGAAAGTATTTTTCCGCGAGATTTATTATAAAAATAACTGCATTTTTTTATATTCTGCATCGTGAAAAATTGATTTGTTAAATTCGTTGTGTTAAGAGACCGTTTAATTTTTGGCGAATCTGTGGTTATAAGTTGGAATTGATCAACTTCCTTCTTATCGACGATCGTCGTAATTGTATTGGGTTCATAACTGATCGGGATTAAGTGTAATCCCCCTGTCATCGAAGTCGAATACACATCATTCAGCTCACGTTCCGTTAGTCGATTTGGCGCGGAATAACGTCGCACGCTTGTTCCGTACTAATCGTACTGGATGTGTCATGTCAGGCTTTTTCGGATAAGCGATTCCATCGAAGTGTCGGCCGAGGAGACGGCTCGTTAAGATACGTCAGCCGTGAAATGCGCGCGGACCCTTCTGAAAGCGGCCTGACGTTCTCCACAGCGTCGGTGATTTTATGGCGCACTCCCTTCGTTCTTTCTCTAAGACGTGGAATCTTCTTTATCTCTCCTTATGGGTTTCCACGCTCGGAATTCCCTTTTTTTTCCTTTTGAATTCCTCGCCAACAGGTTTCCTTCGGGCGCTGCTCCACGATCACCTCAGCGCTGCGTGAAACGAAATAAAGCAAGAGCCGACGACTTTTATAGCAGCAATAATGAGAACAATGATAGACCCGACTATCATTTTCTGTCATTTTATTATACGTTCTTCAATTTTCCCAATCTGTTCGAACCACCCGTCCATTTGTGTATGGCTAGATTTTAATATCTAATCTTCCGTTGACGAACAAACGAAATTGTTTTTAAGCTCGCATGAATATCTCGTGTTTTATGCTAATATGATTGTCATTTTTTATCTCGCGTATGTATCGCGGGATCCCGTGAGATAGAATGAGGCATTGAATCGTACTTATGCTAATGAGGACTCTTGAGAAACGAGTTGCTATCATGTGTCATCGAATCAGCGAATACAGAGATGACCGATATCGCGATTCGAAAAATATATATGTAAAAATATGTATGCGACATTATATAATAGCAGTACCTCGAAACGCGAGGACAAACAATCTGTCACTTGGAGATAAAAGATTAATGTTTCAACTATTTTTCTTCTTTCCGAAGAACTTCACACTTCCATTGTGTCTCTGTTTCTCGATATTCTTATAATAATTGTTAACTTAATTTTCACAATTCCTTTATCCCGTGTACAATACGTATGTGTAATAAGAATTTGGAAAGTATATATTTATATACATATTTGCCGATGATCTTTATATATTTATACTCTACTTTCTACTGTAGGTAAGAGTATTTCAGGTTTACAATGATGTTGGTTATATTGGCTCTTAATAATAAGAATAATATTAACAATATCAGTAATATCTATATGAGTGTCACGGGCGTGGCGATAAAGGTAACAAAGATTTATCTTCAGCAATGAAAGAGGCGTACAATTTTTTTTTTATAAAACGTACTAATATAATATTTATTGTTGTAATAAACATCATAATATAATATCACCTCTAACACAATCTCACGATGGCAAGACAACGCGACGGTATTAAAACAATCATAGGCATTCTCGAATTCTATACTTCAACGGTCTCGCTACCGACTTCAGCACGGCTCTTTCAATCCGGTCTGCCAATCGGCAACGGTTTCTTTTTTTTTATGCATTCCTCTATCTCTAACAATAAATCTAAAGCCCGTAGGCTTCTTTCACGTCGCCATTTACGTCGTTTAAGTTTAATTTACGATATCGGGACGGCCCGAGGAACCGTCGCGAGGGAACCGCGATCGCATCTATGTATGCAAATCTACAGCCTCCGAAAAAGCGGAAGCAACGATAAACGAAGAGAGAAAGAAAGAGAGAGAGAGAGAGACGCAATTTCCAGTTGCCACCGGCGGGCACGATCGACGGTTCCCTCGCGACGACGCTGGTCCGCCCAGCTTTTATAATGTAGATAATAATATTAATAATCGTAAGGATAATAAAGGGATGATACTATTATAATAAAATGGCTCGATGAGAAAGACACATTCGTTTGTTCACGTAACGAGTCGTGTACTCCCGGTCTCGTTCCGAGATGCAACGGTCGATGGGCACGGGGGAGCGATGGGCGATGTTGTGATTATGCGAAAAAATGTCATGGACTAAAGCTAACCAACGGTCTTGATTTCATACATCTATCTTTAGAGATTGATTTCGCAGAAATTCTACCTCTCATTTTCTCTTTCATTCTATGAAGTTTCCGCGCTTTGAGCTATCCATTCATGCACACTCTTTCTCTCGCTTTCTCCCTTTCTTTCTATATCATTTACATTCTCACGCTTGAGTACAGACACTCATCCTCGTGTATAAAAATAATAATATAAGATTTCACAATAATATATAATAATATAATTATTATATAATATATATGCAGCTTACGCGTAATTTCATAAAATCCATAAAATTAATAATATCCATCTACATACTATTTGCGATAAATGTAACAAAAAAATAGTACTTAATAATAATAAAAGACTTTTACAAGCGTATTTTGATCGGTGCTTTGATATCGTTATGCTTTGATATCGACGTACATTATTATGATTAACGTCAAACGAGAAAAGTTGTCGTAACCGTGATTGTTCTGCTCTAATCTAACGGTTCTAACGTAAGTGGCATCAGATACGCGTATATCTGTCTTATGTCTGTATATATATACGCCTATGCAGATCTTTTAATAGATATCCCGTATTGTCTGCCCCTTGTATGCGTACACAAGCTGGCAGGCGGCTTGCTTTCGTCGGTGGCACATTAGCGTTACTTCCAAATTTACCTTACGAACTATATAACCACGGATTATTGTTACCGGTACATCGCGTACATCGTCTGCTCGAGTGCTGAGTCCTCGTCGTAATCGACGCGAGTTCTTGTCTCCCACAGCCCATACAGCACGCATGTCTAAAAGGCATCTTTAAGACGTCTTTAAGTCGTCTTTTAGACAATACATATCTAAAAGACGACTTAAAGACGTCTTAAATGTGTCTTTTAGACAGGCGTGCTGTATGGGAGGTTTCGAATCAATATCTCGAAAATGAAGTAACTCACATGATATATTCGTATGTGTAAAAATAATATAATGATCTTAGTATATAAACAAACTGCCCGCGGTATACAGACTGCCATGAGAGTCGATCAAAAATTGCTTCAATTGGCATCAACTGTGTTCGTATCGAGCTTGTATCTTGTCGACAATGACTGCTGACGTAACAACATTAGCGACGAAAACCGAACAGATTCTGTCGAATCTAGGTGCTGCTGCACTTCTTTCGTTAGTAGGACTATTGTTATAGTCATTTGTCATGAAAACCTGCTTTCCATTTCTATTCTGCCAGCTTGAAGCATAAACAATAGTGTATTCAGCAAACAAAATGCTGCTGTGTTTCTGGCAAGATTCTATCAGCAGCATCGAACATCCTAAATTAGTCTGTAATCTCTCTGCTGATAAAAATTCCAACACTTCTTACGGACTCTATTCTCGACCGACTTGACTATGGAATGAAAAACATCAAATGCAATGAAGATACTTACATGTGAAAATACATAATGGCATTTTCTTCTACTCCGGAGCCGTAGAGAGATAGCTTTCATTTATTCATGTCTTGGAGATAAAAGACTAAACTCGTATGATACTTTTTTCTTCTTTTAGAGGGAACAGCGTTGCTCACTTCAGTTTCGTGATATTGAATCGTCATCTTATCCTCCAACGTCTGGACTGAGTTCTTGTGTGCGTGTAAAGATATTACACTACGGATACATACATACACGTATAGCGTGATTATATTACTCTTATTAGTCTTAAGACTTAGAAAAAGTCGTGGCTTCTCGATGCTATCTCGAGCGTGACATGGCAGAGAATGCGGCACGGGGAGGCGATCCGTGCGCGCGGCTTCGCGGATTTTTTGCTTAAATCTCTTTTTTTTCACACACACGGCAAGATTTCCGCTTCGAGCCATCAAGGCATTTATTCGTGCGCGATGATCGGCTTGCGACTGACAGTGGCATTGCGAAACCGCGCGACGTCTTCATGCACGCGCGTAAATACGTCGGCGCTCGTAAATGTGAAGCTGTAAAAGTCTCGTTAGCGACAACGGGTCAAATAAGATGAAAGTGTCGATTAGCGTTTTACGTCACTGATGAGACTCAAGTATTTTTTTTTGCTTTTACATTTCGCGCACGTTTTACAGCTTTTCGCGCGAAATCGATATTTTTTAAAACATTCTGAGTAAAATCGAATAAAAATGCGGAAATGAAGAAAGCAGCGGTAGCTTCTTTCATTGACTAACATAAACATTCCAAGTCATTCGTTTAACGTGAAAGAACGGCACGATATGAATATAAAACTTTGTTGGTTTTCGAAGATGACAATTCACAAGATCAACGTGAGTAATGCGTTTCTTAAACGCGCGAGTAAATTAAAAGCCTAGAGATTGGCGTACGAATTAAGATACAAATTAATAGAGACGACTGGGCGTCTCTCTCATATGCATCTACATTATACGTATGCTTAACATATACCGGGACCCTTAAATCAATTTTGATTGATTTACATGGCGTTCGCGTTTGCAACACGACGCTTCGGTATCCTAAGCTAACAACCATCAATATAAATCGTTCGTGGGACGAAAACAAATAATATGTAACGTGTCGCTTTTCGTACATCCAGCGACATGTGTCTACATACATTCTTGCACATTCGATTTGCAGTCGAGTCGAAGCCTATACATCTGTGAGATCATTTAACCCTTTCATATTTGACTTCCTTTGAGAGGAGGAACATGTTTAGTTTAATTGTTTTTCTTTTAAATGTTCTTATTGCTCCAGTAAACACAAATGTGGCATTTATGATATAAATGTCACATAAATGTAACGTGCAGCCATTTTCATAACTCGTCTACTTGCTGCAAACTGTGGTATTGGAGTAAACTGTCGAATAAAAGATTCAGTAACAGCGGACGTGCACATTAATAGTACCATGTGATAATTTTGTATAATAAATTTGTAACGTTACTCCGCATTCGTCACAGGTATATGTATAAAAAATTATTTGGTTAGGTAAATGCGTGAAGATCCAGGGGCTTTTCCTCTAGCGCGAACTTATGAAAAGTGAAAATTTTCGAAAGTGACGAATAGTAAGTTCTTCAATGAAATTTCTCTCCTTTGGAGTTCACGCGAGAGGACAAGATTCATAATCGAGTCCCAGGTTGAGAAGTTCCTCCATCCATCAGGTTATAAAATAAAATAAAAATATAACAAAATGTCGAGATCGATAAAAATTACGTAGTATAATCCAGAAGTTTTCAATCTATATTTTCAATTTATATGATGTAAGTTATAACCAATAGCACATCTCTTTATTATTCAAATATATAAAGTGTCTCGAATATATTATTACATCTTCCCTATGATATAAACATATATATATAATATTCAATTTAGTTAATATAATATTTAGGGATACTATATATTAATAAAAATTAATACATGGTATACACATATAAATATTGTATTAAATTTAATTATCGGAATCTTAGAAGTCTTACTATAATATTTCCTGATATTAAATAATTTTCGCACAAAGTAACAGTGTACACTTTTCACGATTAATCCGAAAACTTTCAGATCTTACTACGTAGATAATCTTTTTGTATTCCAAGTATGATCTAGATCCCCACGCATGCCTCAGTTTTAAAAGTTGATTGGAAAGTAGAGAGTTATGAGTGAAGGAATGGATTCGTCTTACAAATCCATATTTCATTTACATTACATTTCTAAATTTCTTACTAATATATACTGTAGTACTCTTTATTAAAGTTTAAACAATCCTCTTTAAGAGGATCCTGCATATGATCTTAACTGAATAGCTATCAAAGGTATGATTTTTCAAATATTTTAAAATGTTTGATAAATTCTTTAAAAGTAAACATATTCCACTGATCGCGAAAGGGTTGAAGTCTCATAGAAAGATCAGTGAAACATTCATTAAAAATGTAACAAACCTTTGTCAAGAAACATTAGTCTGTCAACGTATAGGCTTCGACTGATATTATACTACGATTATACAGTCAGAGTTCTACGGTTGCCGATTCTTCTATCACGGTGAAAATTCGATAATCTTCAGATATATCCTCTTGTATGACTCTTCTCGAGTTGTCCTTGCTGAAAGATAATTAACACGATGCTTGTCTCTCTCGACGAACATCCTTGGCAAGTACATCATCGACTAAGCTATACAAGAATCTTCAACGTGGTGCGAGAAAATTCGTGGCTCATGTAGCAATCATCATTATTCGACGCGAGATGTTGCTGATCCTTCATTCCCCCGAACGGTCAGTCTTTGTCAAGTTTGTACAGCATACTTATACAACAAGAAAACGTCTCTCGTCCGGGTTCAGGTGTTACTGTTGTCGTGAACGTGCCCGTGTGCATGCGTGGAATTGGCAAGAGGTGAGTGCGATGACGACGTGGGTAGTTCGATGAGGGTGACGTCGTATCCGGCGGGAGAATCACCCGGATCACTAGGATCGCCCGGCGAACCTGGATTGTTCAGGTTGCGCTCGCTGTCCTGATTGATCCGCGAGTGACTCACTTCCAACAGGAAAAAGTCCTCGTCGACGTAATATCGCATCATATCGTCGTCAATTTTCGCTGTAATTCTGCAACAGGGTAGGGTGATGCACTCGTTAAATTCTCAGCGCGACTAGCGCGAGCGAAGGCGACAGGTTTCTCGCTCCGAAGAATCGTGATCGTTCGACTTGCCATGCAACGCGGTAATTTCGCTATAACATTGCGATGCTTGACGAATGAACTATGTACACCGTATACAGTTTCGGTATTTACCGTATACAATATTGCGCACGATTAACGAAATCTCTTAATATAATTTTGCAATATTAAAACAGACATAAAGAAAGAAAAAAATCTTTGGGAAATTATTACACAGAATGTTACATCGTCGTTAAATCATGACAGTATTGTAACGGCAAGGTAATGTCTATACTGTTTTGCGGTGGATCTTCAAGATTTCGCAAAGTCAAAGTGAAAAAAGTGGATTGTAAAGTTTGCATCGCATTGTGCGTAGCTTGAGAGAAAGAGAGAAGGAGAGAAGGAGAGAAAGAGCGTGAGATAGGATTTGCTTGAATGACGTGAAATGTACATGTCGAATAACGAAAGATATCTGTTCGAGGGGAAAGGTTCCTGCGAGAGAGCACGCAGTGCGTAACCAACGTGTATGCTGGAGAGTAAACCGGCAGAATAAATAATCAGGTGAACGAGACGCATGACGACATTAGGCGAGGCAGGCAAGGCGTGCATGAGTGCGCTCATGACGGAAGGCAGAAGACGAGAAGCGTGAAGGATTAGTGGATTAATCAGGCGTGATTGTGCGTAGCGGTAGCGAGGTGCAGTCAGCGTGCAGCGACATTCGCGTTAAGGTGATCGACAAAGAGAGGGTATTTTTTTAACAGTACACGAGAATGGCGTATATACATTTAAGTACATATGTCGCATAGAAACGCGAGTCCGACATTTGAAAGAGGCACGATCATAGGCGAGAGTGCGAAAGGGAGTGCGAAAGAGACAGAAAGAGACAGAGAGGCAGAGACAGTGAGAGAAAGAAAAGTAGAGAGAGAGAGAGAGAGAGAGAGAGAGGGAGGGAGAGGGAGAGAAGAAGAGAGAGAGAGAGAGAAGGAAAGACTACCAAACCAGGCGGAGAGAGTCAGGCAATGTCACCGTTATGGCATGCATCGCGTGGGCGTGCATGCGAGTAAAGATGACACTCTACTAAACTTACCCCTTTGTGTTTTTGCGATAGAGATTATTAATACTCGAGGATGCAATTTTGTACTTTGACTCAATCTGCAAAATAGAAAAAAGTAGAACATTAGAATTTTGATAGTGGCTTGCGGACCGTCGTTTTCGTTTCGCGCACGCACTCGCGAGAAAGTGCTCGCGAGAGACGCGCGTAGGTAGACGCAATATCACCGCGAGAGTTGACAGCAAGAGAGAAAGACAGAAGGACAGAGCGAGATAAAGTAGACAAGACAGATTCGAAACGGGAAGGTGTAATGATGAAAAAGACATACCGCGCGTCGCGAGAGAACGCGGAGGCAGTTCAGGATCGACGAGAGCGCGGCCGGAGACAAGAGCGCGTGGATCAGCTGGATCGCTCGTCCGCGGGGCGCGTGAGGAACGCGACGAGAAAAGAGAAATCGCGGTTTGACAACAAGGAGAGAAAGGGGTGCTTCTTTCTTTTTTTTTCTCTCCACTCTTTTCCTCCGCCAGCTTTTTCGTCGGTTCGACTCTTTGCGCTCTTAACGTCAACGTCCGGTCAATCGTTATTAAGAGCCGCCGACAGTCTCGCACATCCGCGGAGCAGGAGGGGTAAATATGATCGTACGTCTTGCACTATCGATACTGTATTAATGAGGAACTTGGACACAGTGGACAGTGATGCATGCGCATTAATATTAATTAGCGAGTGGACCAGTGCGAACGGGTATTAATAATGGCGCAGTATGCTTTCACATGCATGAGTAATACGTATGCTCTCTCACGGAGCTTGCACGTGTGTGCGCGCGTAAATAAATACATATATTGTATATATGCGTGTGTAATTTCCGCGCGCATCGAATCGTGCGCGGCTGAATGAGCGAAACCAAACTGGTATCGATTGAAATCGAAACGGACATTAGTTACCTTCCGGCGTGCGACTTTATTAAGCCTGGAAGTGAAGTGTTTTACCGGGGCCACGGTTGCAGGAAGCGTATCTTGATCGATGGTAGCGATAGCACGTTGCGTTATTATTGTCTCGTTTCTCGTTCTGTTTTCCCGAGCAAGCCTCGCCGGCGAAACGGCAGCGTAATCACGGATTAACCCATTAACGCCCACGGTTGCGCATACTCGACGCCGCGCGTCGCGCGCTTTGCATAAAACGCATCGGCTGCTACCGTGCGTATAGTCACCGGTATCGGCCGCGCGGTATGGAAATGGTGAGAATTTCCATTTCCCATTTCCATTTCATACGAGGCGTGCGAACGGGCTTGTTAGAGACGTTATTTTACCCACTTTACTGCCGAATGACAAGTATCAACACCCGGTTAGCACAAAACTCGATTATACGTATTCGATTTATATATCAACGATATTTATCACCCGCTCCTGCCTTACGTTTGTATATCGTACGATTTGTACAATTAAGATCAATAATTTTCTCTATACCGCGGGCGTTAATAGCTCACGGCGCAACGAGAACGGATATCTACGGGTACCAGCTCTGCAACTTGCGCTATTCCTCTCGAAAGTATCTTTGAGATGCAGCCGCAAGCGGAGCGTGCGAATGATATCCTTGCGGCTGCAACGAACCCCCAAATCTCTCTCTCTCTCTCTCTACGCGCGCGAAGATGTTTGCGTGTTGTGAGATGTCGATGTGTGGCATAAAAGAGAAAGAGCCTTAAGATGCGTTCCTTACAGCGTTCAGCAGTCCCTGGACCGTCGGCGGCGTCACGTGCAATGGCGTGTAGACATCCTCCGACTCCTGACGCACGTAGAGCATGACGCGCTCCTCGGCGTCCGTCGGACGCAGATGCGAGGCTTGCTGCTGCAGGTGCAGTCGATTCCCAACGCTGGAAACCACCGCGCCCGCCAGACCAGTCTGTTGCACCCCCTGCAGCACCGAGCCCTGCAGCTCCTGCACCTGCATCAGCAACGAGTCCTTCTTGTCGTGCAGGTTACTGAGATTGTCGGGCGGAAAGTGGTTGTGGAACTTGAGGGCTGGCAGACTCGGCCGCCCGCATGCCGCCGGATAGGGGCTGCTGCCCCCTGCCGCCTTCAATCCTCCACCTTCACCGTTACTGAGAGATGAGGTGTCGGTGTCACCCCCGCCCCCGCCGCCGCCGCCGCCACCACCGTAGAAGCCCGACAACTCCATCGTCGAAAACTGTCGTGGAAGAGAAGAACAAGGTTTATTTCTACTTTGCGTCTTTTTCTTATCTTCTCGCGCGGCGACGAGGCCCGTTCGAACTTGAAACGTTAGGAAACGAAGAGTGACTTTGTAGCAACGTTCATTTTCTTAATTCTTGACACGCAACGTCAAAGAGATGGACAAACGTGCGAGATGCAAACGAATCAAAAATCGGGACGGTAAGAAATAAGTTTGAAAAACTTGCCAGTTTCGATATGTACGAACAAATACTACATATTACGTTGTGTAATGACGTAATTGTAACAAATCACACATTTTGATTGTGACGGAGCTAAGAACACGTAAGTGCTGAAAGACTACTCCGGGTTCGTTGAACTCAAGTGACGTAAAATTCGAAAGGCTGTCTTCGAGAAAGTCGTCCACGTCATTACTTTGCGATGCAAGAGTTGCGGTTAGTGCAGGGTTTCGGCGGGGGTGAGAGCAGAGGATTGCGGATGCCACACGATTTTTCTAAGTTCGCATCGTTAATCGAGCTTACATGCCGAGATATTGAGTGGCGCACTCGTATTATCGCTCAAAGACAAACGAATTGACAATTGGATAAATACTAGGTGCCTTGTATCGAGTCTTACTCACGTTAATGTCCAGCGTATCGGGAAACGTTTATATTATACTTAATTTCGTAATAAAATAATGTCTTTCGTGCAATTATTAAATTTAATACCGTATCTCTTGGAGAACGCAGCGCGTCATTGCGGACAACGCCGTTTCTTATTTGAGTAACGCACGAAAAAGAAACGACGTGGATTACCTTATCGATGGCGTGCTCGGCCGGCGGAGAGAACAGTACAGGCGGCTTGTGTACGTCGACCATGGAGTAAAACTCGCTGCGCTCCGTGACGGGGTGATAAAGCTCATCGAGCTTTTTTCTGCCGGTCGTCGACATCTTCCTCTTAGCCGCGCGTCTCTCCTCGTCCCGGGTCTTCCTCTCCGCTCCCTGCGATAAGCAACGTCATCTCTCAACTTAATTTCAGCGATCGCGCGCCTTGCGACCAGGAAGCGATCGCGCGTTATTTACATCGCAAATGAAGAGGGTCGGAGAGGGGGGGAAGATAAACATATGAAAATGCAGCGCGGTTACCTTATCGCAGAAGACCTTAATTTGACAGTAGCCGCGATGGGAAGGCGGCGTGTACGTGTGCGTTTGGGACACGTACTCCTCGTACGTGTCGATCTGGATATGCAGCGGCAAGCCCTTCACGCCTTTCTGACTCGAGAAATCGGTACTGAGACACTGCACCGCAACGTTTATCTGCGGATCAGAAATCGGACAGGTAGCAGCGGCGAGGAATTGCTTTATTAACGTTTCCGCTAAATGGCCGCGCAACCGAACGCGCGAGCGATACGATATTTGCGCGTAGCGCAAGATTGCGCGGCGATAAGCGAGATACGCGCGTGTCGTTGAGGAGGCAACGTGAATCGACATTTCCGGTGTTCCTTACCTTCGCCGACGATTCGATTGGGTTCCAGTAAACGGCAATCGCATTGTGCGCGATTTCCTCTATGCAGCCCACCAGGCCGACGCTGTTCTTTGTGTCTGTAACAACGGACGTGACTCTGAAACTCGCGGATCATGCAGGGGAATATGAAGTAGCTTGGCCGCTGTTCTTGGGACGCTCTTAGAAATAGAATATTTAAATAACGGAGCGTACGTCCGTGATGCAATCTTACCGCTATGATCCGTTCACGGATTAGGTAGCATGCGCACAAAAAAAGGGAGATTTAAGCAGTTAATCGATAATCAGAAATACGGCCACTGTTTAAGAGAGTTACACCCAGAAAAAAGTTGATTTAATCCGATTAATAATTTAATCGAAAAACGTAATCGAAAACACTATTTACTTGGTTTATCCGAAATGGAAATTTTTCTCAGTGAACCGAATCTTTTTTCTGGCTGTATTGTATAATTTCTTTTCTATTTATATCATGTGAATTGTACCGGCATCGAGAATCCGTTGCTTGACAGAATGTTGTCTACCATGCCAAAACTGCCACGACTTGATCTCATCCTCTGGGCTTTTCTCCTCCCGGAACATCAACATCACCACGCTCTACACGGCACATGCAAATAATTATCAATGGTGTGACAAAACTGCATTCGTTATTGCTTATCTCTACCTTATTTCTAGCGGCGAGAGTGAGGCAAGGAAAACCATGCGCGCATGCAAATGTCTTTCGCGACATGTCTCAAGATTCTTTGTATTTAATAATCATATCGCTCGAGATCCCTCGCGATTTCGCGATCAACCTGGCATCAAGTAGCCACAAGTATAAATGTCTTACGTCTACAAAGTTAACTTTCGGGTTTCTCGTTTCACCCGGATCGGCGGACACGCGGGGACGTACATCGGCCGCGACAGGACAGACGCACGCTCGAGCGGGCATGGCACACGCGGGCGTGAGCGTTTCGCCGCTCGCGGGCGAACGCGCGAGCGAGCGAGCGAGCGCCGAGACGGAGGAAGGAGATTTTTCGTGATTCGGGTGAATGGGCGAAGAACTGCACTCCGACGTACCGGAGGAAATATGGGCGAGCGCGCGATCGGGGCAGGAAAGAGAGGCCCGTGAATAAGAGGCTCGCGTTACGCGGTTACACTTACTTAACCGATCTCCCTTGAGGCTCGCGCCGCGAGAGACGCGGATATACCGTTCGAATCGCCACACGCCTCGCTCTCGACGCTCGATTAGCAATTAACGAGGAAGCCGTAACTCGTCGCGGCGCGCACGACGGAAAAAGAATCCGCCACCTTTATCAGAATGGAAATTGCTAACGGTGCGTGCGCGCCGCGGCTGCCAATTAGAGCCGCGAGAACAAACGACCCCATCTGACTTCTTCTTTCGACACGCCGCACACACGCCGATCATCTCTCCGCGAATTTTGCCGCTCTGGTCACGCGAACGCTACGATTTACTGCTGCGAAACGCTTAAGCCTATCACACAATAGGATTAACGAATAGAAATACGGAATAGCAACCTATGTAATGCCAAGACACAATGATTCGTTGGCAATAGGAGTGCTGTCCAATCGTCTGCTTTTTGAAACCACGCGCCTGTCCCAGAGTCTCAACTGTGATTGGTCGGGTAGGTCAGGCACAGGGAATAGGGAATAGAAATCCGACGAGTCGGAAATTCTGTTCCTATTGCCTATTCCATATTCCATTGTGCGTCGATACACGGTTTCTGGTAAGTTGGAATTCAGTTATTTCTGTTGCCTGTGTTATTCCCTATTCCTATCGCCTGTGCTTTCCTATTGTGTGATAGGCTTTATTGTTAGACGGTTCAACGTTCATTGCATATCGCGGCCTAGTTCGTGGAACTAGATCATGGACATGACAGTCTCTTGTTGAGTAAATCTATAATATTTGCAACGAGTTAGGAAAATAAAACGATAGATTTAGAAGGAGTGAGAGGAGGGGAAGTTCGAGAGGGGCACGAGAGAAGAAAGGGCTTTACTCGAGCCCGAGCTATCCTGGAGAATAAATCATCCTAGGAGAGATGGAAATAATTTGACTCGGCAAACCATGTTCCGCGCATGCGGAAAAGAATCAGCACTGGTCGGTCAGTAGAGGCAGACGATTTGGGACAGAGCAAAAATTGATTATTGTCTTATATCATATCCGACGAAAACGTTTGCAGGCGGTCGATCGAGATTCGGAGTAATGGCTCACGACTAATGTCCGTTTCTACCAATGCAGATTAACTTTAATCTCGGTTTACTTTAAATCTCTTTTCAGTTTGAGAAACTAGAAAAACATGGAAAGTAATTTAAACCAAAATTAAAGTTAAGAACTTCTAGCATCGTGGACACAGGCCTTTAAACGGGCTCGGCTAATCGTCTTTAGGATTACTGTAAGTTGCTTCACTCTCGTTGCCCAATTTTGATATTTAGCTATTTGTGAGAAAGTCTCCTTCTTCAAAATAATATAATGACTACGGGTAAACAATTGTTGACTAGCGTCTGTAAGTGTATGGCTCAGTATTTTACGAAATCCGACGAACAATTGTAAATGTGAGATTGATAAGTAAAAAATTTTAATATTCTTTTTCTATGCAACTCGTTGCACATAAAATTATTCAATCGTGGATTTTCAACTATTAAAATTACTCATGTTAAATGTATCGTCGGGCACGTACGATCTTCGGGACGTGTAAATCATATATGTATAATATATAGACTGCGCATTTTGGTTGCAGAAGTGTACAAACTTTAGAAAGAGACAACAGACTTTGGACTAGAGATCTAGTGCTAGAACTAGTGCTAGATAGCCTATGTTTCTCTCTCACTCGCAGGAATTTGACGAACTCTTATGGCCAGTCTCTGATTACGGGGTCTCTACTTTGGACCTTATTCTCTCTCCGTCTATCAATATCTGAAGTGGAACAAAAATTCAGCATGGCTACTGTGCTTATCCTTTAACCTCTATCACTCCCCTACTCTTCTGTTACCCCCCCACTACTTCACTAGACAAAGATGAGGTACGGCCCCACACCAGTTATCTCGTTCTAAAGTTTGTACATGTTTTCACACGGGTAAGGAGGTGGGGAACACGCAGTTTATTCCTACTATGTCTATGGTGTAAATGTCTCTATCCTTGAAACGATATATTTACCTACATCGTCCTACAAGTGTCGTTATGCAAACAGTAATTAGCCTTCTTGCACTTACCTTGACTGTCTGCCCTGACTTGATGAGCGGCTTGTCCGGATCGGGCACGTATTCCAACGTGATTCCATAGAACTGACCCTTGTTGATGTACGTTATTCTGTCGTCCTCGCGGCGCTGCGACGTGCTGATCGGCGACTCCAGGTGGTACTTAAATCCGTAATTCGAATAACTAAAAGACACAAGATACCCCAAATGAAAAGTCGATACGCAGCACGGACATACGCGCGCGTAAAAAACGCGCATGTTTAAGAAGCGATCTCCCTGGTCATTATGCAGCTGGCCGTTTCACACTCGGCCAGGATTGAATCACGTTTACTTAATAGCCAGTTACGAGCTCGCAAACGAATGCTCAATTAGCTGATTAATGCGCGATGCAATATGAATGATTATCGTGTCATTATCGGCTAATTCTTCGCCAACGTATTCCTACCTTGTCGCCGAGACAAACGTACCTGACACCGCATCGCGTGGAAAACGACTGATGCGTGCGTGAGGTAAACAAGACCGCGCGAAACCCTTGCGGCTAATTAGAACGTTCGCCATCGCGTGGAAAGAGGCGATCGCGATCGGGTATGAATATTCCAATCGCTAATCGCGACAAAACGATCACGACACGGGGCTCGGACACCCTGGGAAGCCAGCAACCCGGCGCGCACGCCAAGTGGAAAAGGAAAGACGTCGACAGACACGCATCTTACCCGAGGGGGAGAAAATCGCGGCTTCTAATCGAGCCTATCTCCGCGCCAACCGCGGCTAAGGTGAGCACGTAGGCGGGCGACCGATAACTCGGGGACAAATAAATACCCATAATCCGAGAGACCGCGATATAAAACGCGAGACGACAAAACAACGCGAACGGTGGAAGGAAAACGGGAGCAAAACGATCGGGGCGCGCGATCGAGGAAAATCTGTAATCGCCAAGTCGCCGCTGATCGTCTCGAACTCGATTACCGATACCGGTCTCCGATCGATCTACCGTCGGGGAGCCATCGGAACGTATCCTCGCGAGAGCGTCCTATTGTCTACGAAGCGCGCGCGCGCTTTCGTGACGCGGTCCTCTCGACCTTTTTTTCCTCTCTGTCTCTCCGCTCCTCCTTTTTTCTCATTGGGGAACCGAAGGGGACGAACCAGGGGGCAGCGTGCACGGCGAGCGAGGCGATAACTGAACGTGGCGGGTGAACGCCCTCCTGTGCGCCTTTACTGCTCGCTACCGTTGCACAGCCGCCGCCTACCCGATATGTGTATACCTTGTTACAACTCCTCGTGTGGGTTACGCGTGACGCTATCGAGTCTTTCTCTCTCTTTCTCGCCAATTTGCCCGTCTGACTTGCTCGCTTCCGCTCGCGAAAAAGAATCCGGCCCCGGTCGGAAAGAGAGAGGCTACCCCTCTTGACATTTCGATTTCACGCTGCGAGTGGCCGGGGAACCGCGCGATTTTTCAGCCCGGTCCCGGCGCGACCCCGAGGCGCTTGTCCGCTCCTCTCCGAGAGTCGACTTCGCAGACTGGGCTGCGACTTAATAACTTTAACATCATTGTTCATCCCGCGCCGGTGAGCACTCGGAGAGATGGAGCGAGAAATATTCAGCGCCGCTGATCGTACGGTCGGCTCTAACAATGGAAGGCAATAAATTACAAAAGACGGATGGAGCGAAACGGGAAGTGGAAAGATCGCTAGAAAGGATGGGAGAAGGGAAAGACCGAGTGAGTCGGCAAGCGGATGTGATGAACCGCGAAGGAAATGAAGGGTGCGCGAAGAATGAGAGGCGCAGGAAGCTCTTCTTCCAGCGGGCGACTGCGAGCGAAGATATTAGTTTCCCGTGAAACAGAAATGACATCGTTACAACTTTGTTTTCAGACGCGCCATTAGTGTTCTCAGCCACAAGAGAACTCTTAAAGTAAGCAGTAGTACATAGGCAAAAATACTATTCTGTACGTGTGCACGAGAGAGCTCCGTCTTTCTCATTAATCTCTGCAACAATTAAGTGCATGAATGCGCGACGAAAGTTATAAATTGTTAATTAAATTCATTAACTGAACAATTTATAATCGTGTATAATGTTGATCGATCCTTGGGACCATTAATATTTTTTACGAGCATTCGTGTCCGCTGGATGAAGACCGAATATATAAATTTTAGACGTTGAACAACGAGTTGAGGAAAGGGATTTTTATATTCCGTCACGAGGTGCTTTCTTTATTACATGGCCTTGCAATTGCTTGCCCTAGGCGCAAGTTATTAACTTTTATCGTTACTCTTCCGTGCCTTCCATGTAATAAGATGGATTAATAGATAAACATCTATCAATCTCGATATCTACTTACTCTCCTCTATCCGTCCGATCGAGCAAATTGAGCATTCGCCTTTGCACGTCGTTATTATAACGTTTCTTATAATTTCCTACACTACCACGCGATCCATAATCAGACAAATCATATCAAGTTGCGATTCTATTACGCGATATTTCCTTTGTGCGTTAAGTAACAACTACTTTTAATCAAAGGAGCTAGTGAAATGTAGAGTCGCTTCTTCAGTTTCCGAAACTTTCCTCGAGGTCGACGCTTGCGTTAACTTTCAAACAGCATCTCAAGAGCCGTACACTGCAGAGTTCACTTACACTTTCTGTATCTGGATTTTGTCAGCGTCGTTCTGCCTACCGAAATCATGCCAAGGTCGGGACCTCTGCGGATTCGGATTAGAATTTGTCGCACCCGACACCAGATTGCCGCGCTGCACCTGCCCTTGCGAGTGGCCCTGTTGCAGTTGTAGTTGCAGGGGTTGGTGCAACACCGTGCCAGTCTCAAGGACCACCGCCGTCCCGGCCGTGGTCCCGCCGGGGCATAATTCTGTGTAGTCGAACGAGGACTGGAAAGAGAATTTTATTTATTGAGCAAAAACACACGGGCCATATTCGAAAATGTACAATACGGAAAACTTTCTTATTTACTCTTAAATTCCCTTCGCGCGAAGAAACGGATGAGATGTACCGATAGTGTCGTATAACGGTGATATAAAATATTATAATAATTAAGGTGAATAATCCGACACCACTGGCAACAGGAATACTTTATTAGCACAACGTTTCGGCCATGGGTTTTGGCCCTTATCAAGCGCAATCAAACTAATTCAAACGGCGCATGGCATGTGGTCAAATGCCATCGGCCATCACTGTACAAAAGTAATATAGTTGAAAAATCTCTCACGGAAAGACACCATTATTCAAGTCAATGGTGTAAATTCGAACCAAATTTAAGATATTCAACCGCCAGTAAAATTTAAAATAATTAAGGTGAATAACCCGACACTACTGGTAACAGAAAACAGGAAAAATATTATAAATCAAGTATAGCGCACGAGGATAGTGATAGTTGCGACTCCTTCCAAGTCATGTCTCCGTGAATAAAATGTGTTTGCATGTATGAGCGCGCTCAATCTCGCTAATTTAAATGCCCGTTGATTACGGTGTAATTAGTATTTAAAAACCTAGTAAGACGTAATTATTTATCGATCTCGTTGGTTTCGTGCATCGGCAGCGGATATCGCGATTCAATATCTGTACACGTTCGCGTCTTGTTTTGCATATCAATGCATTTCATTAGATCTTTTTCGTTCCCCGAGTATCCCTCGATAAATTTCAAACTGCGCCGATTAAAGGGATCGCTGAACCGATAAATGATTAACCGCTCGCGAACACGCGACTTCACGTGACTGTTCCCCGACGCGTCCGCCCTGGATCTCTCTTCTCGTTGATTACACGCGTCGCCGTAAACAAATCGCGATGTATCGACGCGAACGGATCGCGGCGAAGAAAAAAGAGACCGCGCTCTCTTTTCCATTTATCATCGATTTGCGCTTTCGTGCAATTTTCGATCGCGCGCTCCGCTGCGCGTTGCACATGTGCCGCCGCCGAGGGGGAAAGAATAGAGGAGCTTTGCGGTCTCGTAAAATCAACCGCACAATCCGCGCACCCGCTTCCAACCGTGGCTGTTAATAAGCGGCTTGCCAAACGACCTATTCCCTCATACGTCTTCATGCGATTGCGCGCCGCCTGCAGTTATTTTTCAATGCAGCGCGGTCACCGCAGCTCGTTACCTCAACTCTCTGTCATCCCGAAAAAAGAATCACGGCAGCTTCTTTCTCGCTAAATTCTCTAACCGCTGAACCTACCGCACGTCCGCGCGAGACGAGCCCCGCTCGTCGCTTTGGAATTTCTCAAATGCTTTATGCATTAAATGCATGAGACGCAATAAGCATGAAAGTCGCATATTTCCTTCCAACGGCAGTTTTCGACGTCACTTGTAGGCGACGTCGCGTTAATGAAAATTTTATCGCGCGTCGTATGTCTTTCTATTAACATTCAACGTTCTCGTAACTATCTCCTGAGCTACAACGTGTTGAAAACTCTCTTAAATCTTGGATTATGCGATAAAAGTGTGAATTCTTTAACGTCTCATTTATTATAACGCGCGTGCAAGCGACAGGATTTAATGGATTTTTACAATTTTATCGGGCTGCCGTGTGATCAAATCGCACGCGCAATCCACCGATGGTTTACTTATCGTGTTCTATCGCCGAGATACACGACTGTTCTAATTGAGACGTCAGCGGCGGTAATCGAATCAACGTTTCGTGAGAAACCCGAGCCGCGGTGTGTTGCTGACGCGAATGCGAAAACTGTCGTGTACGTCGCGGATAAGAGAACGCCGGGGATAAATGTTTAATATCTAAACGCGCTTAGACTCCCGAGCCGAGTGACAACCGGCTAAAAATCCGGTTATAATATGAGACGTGTGCGATTTGCGCCCGATATCGGGGACGGTATCCGCGAGGCGCGCTAAACGTCATTTTCGAAATGCGCGCGATGAAGTTTACGATCGATTTAACGAGACACTTTTTTTACCGGCGAGCAAGTCATCGAATTCATTACGCGGATATACTGTCCGCGTCGTACGTTCATAATTGGCGTATTACGTTATCGCGGTGCGATTTAGAGCGACGCCGCTCCTCAAATATTAAGAAAACCGCCGACGAAAAGCCGCAATTAGTCGCGAGATAAAACGAGCGCGCGCGCGGGAGACTTTAATGCGCTACCCACTTTGAATATCAACGTTTTAATTGCGTCTATAACACAAACGTGCCGATCGGGCGAGCGGGTCGGTTTTCAGTGGCACTTACATCCGATACCTAATCCGCTCCGGAGACCCGGGTTTTATTTCAGCGTCTGCCGCGTGCACAAGCGGAGCAGAACGAACGCGTGCTTTCTAATTCTTAATGTCGACTGCAATGCTAATGATTTACTCTCGCGTGTAACGCGCGCGACACGATTAATGCTTCCGGAAGCGGACGAAATGCCCAACGAGCTGTACGCGAGGATGACGAATCGTCCGTGTCGAGAGTTGCCGATAAACAAGACGATGCCACCGCCGATCAATTGTGCGAGATTCGCGAATCAGACACGATAAGTCGCGAGGGCCTTTCAAAATATCTGTTGGCGAGAGCGCGGTAAGACGCTCTACCGAAATCAATGTCGTTTCTTTCGCACGGAGAAAAATGCTGTTGAATTAAAAGAACATCAAGTTGATTGAATTAAACGTTGACGTCACGGGCTACCACAAACATAAATAATTCATTTAATTGTATTTGCTATGGATTATAATTTGAAGCATTGAAGTAAATATCCAGATTATTAAGACAACTGATGTTTCTATCTGATGTTTTTCATTCGTTTGTTCAAACGAATATTGATATCGTTTCAACGATTTTATTTCAATTAAACTGATCTTGTTAATACGTTATTTTTTTCCGTGCAAAAATGTGCCGCCCAATTATATAAAGTTCCAATTCTAATGTGTAAACACACATTTTACCGTAATGGACTTGGCGACTATTGCAATTCTATTTATCGATTCTTAAACGAGGTCCGATAAGAGAATCGCTTCGGCAAAACATGTCTATGATAAAAAGTCCTCGCAGGCGTTAAGTTTTAACAACCGGAGGAACGGGTTCGATTTTTCGATACGGCTGACTTTTGCCGGTTTGCCGTGATCAAAGATACCACAATCATTCCTTTGGGGCGTCATGCGCCGCGATGTACGGTATTAGCGTCTCCGAATTTATCGCGTCGGCGATAACTGTACGCGACGTTATGGTGGAAAAATTCGCCGGACAAATAGCCGCCGCGAGAGCGGCGATCGCTGTTGCGTTAAGGCCGAATCAAACTAGCAATTGCCGACTCGGATTGGACTGGGATTGGCGATTGTCGATTGTCCTGCAGCCAATGAGAGTTGATTAAATGGCTGCTTCGCTCTCATTGGCCAGCAGACAGTCTCGCCAATCGCCAATCCCAATTCCCGTCGACAATTGCTGGTCTGATTCGGCCTTTACGCATCCGATCCGTCGGTATTTAGAGCGCTTTACGCGTAATACGCCGCGCATTACAGGAGACACGGGGAATTAATCGTGAAAGAGAGAGAGAGAGAGCCCCGGCTCTCTCGCCGGTGAGGCGACGTCGTGGGCGAAAGCTTATACTTGACAAATCGCATTGAAAACGATAGCACAGCGCTGGCGATACCGACACGCATCCGCGATACATCTGCGCCTGAATATGCCCGCGATGGGATAACGGTTAATATCGCATATATTAATGGACCGAGGGTGTCCTTTGAGCGGGGCGAGCCGGCCGAGCGTTAACGAACGATATTTACGATATCTCGCCGCGAGATTAATTGCACCGCGATCGCTTACCGCGCCGCGGGCGAAGCCATTTGTACGCGGCCGATCGAATTGAAAACGATAGCGCGGCCGCGCGGATGACGACGCCGTCGTTTCCCATCGCGCTCCGTTTCCGCGGTTGGATCGAGATATGGTTATCCCGCGTCGCGTTGGAGAACGGCGAGTCGTTTCCGCCTCCCCGACGCGGCCAGAACCGGAGCATTTTTCTCGACCTCAATTAAGGGGATGCTGTAGTGATTCTACACTTTTGCACCTTTCTAAACTAGAAACTGTACTACATGTACTGTATGTTGCTCACTATTATTTCTTGTTAGACTTACAAACTTAGTTTCAGTGACGCCATCTTGTTCTTTAATTTAGCCGGAATAGCAAGCTGCTTTCGATCTGTACTCGTAAGCCATTTAATTTGTATATTACACAAATGTTTCCGTGAACTGACAGTTTCTAAGTTAGAAGGGTGCAAAAGTGTAGAATCACTCCAGCATCCCCTTAAGGGCTTGCTGGAGTGATTCTGCACCTTTTGCACCTTTTGCTCTTAGAACTGTCAATTTGTGAAAACATTTGTGTAATATACAAATTATGGCATCGTTGAAGTTAAGGTTAGAGGCCTAACAAAAAATCTGTTCACTCGAATAAGTTACCTAACTTCACCTATAACTTATTCGAGTGAATAGATTTCTTGTTAGGCTTCTAAACTTAATTTTAATGATACCATACTGTTCTCTGATTTAGTTCTCTGATTAGTTCAATTAGTGGAACACTGTCGGCCCGTACACAAAAGCCATATAATTTGTATATTACACAAATAAATTGACAGTGCTAGATGCAAAAAGTGCAAAAGGTGCAGAATCGCTCCAGCATCCCCTTAATGACGCCGCCGGTATGCCGTGCGCGTAATTCAGTAGCGAGCACATCCCCGCGTAGTAAACATTTCTTCATGTATCTCCCGCGATCCTCCCTGCAGCCCGTTAACTTCGGTCCCCGCTGACGAGACAGCCGCTGGCCTCGGATCTCGCCTCGATCGCGGCTCTGCTGCTCCCGCTAACGTCTCCTGCTGATTGCAATTTATATAGACGTGAGCCGTTTACGATCGTCCCTGTCGGCTAACTCCGTAACACCGCATTACGCCTGGGCTATGTTAATATTACGTGGCAGGGCAGTATGTTGCAACACGCGACGATCGTTTTACTCCATTTCGGAGGCTCCTCGGCCTCTCTACGTCCGGCGTTTCCGAACTTTACGTCGACTACTGATATTATTGCGGCATCAACAAATTTCTTCCGCGGGATCTCTTATCTAATACCGCACTCGTCTGTCCGTTTTATCGCGGCAATTTTCACCCTGGACTTATATTATCATCCGCGCGACTTTAACGACCGTACTTTACCGCGTCAGAAACACGGTATTGCGAGAGATCTTTATCCGATCTTCGATCGTTAACAATCGTCGCTCGTAAACGCGTCCGCGACTATGGTCTCACGTTCGAAAACACGCGCTCACGACCGCTTTTAAATTTGAACGCACCACGCGAACCGGGAACGATCGGAGCAATGAAATTAATCGCGCTCGAAGGGACTCACCTGATGAAGAGCCGTGGTCGGATGATGGTCTTGCCTGGGTGTCACCGCGTCCGCGCCTATACCCGAGTCGGGACTGGGAAGATCAACAGTCAGGACTTTGCTGCTACTCGACGACGAGCGTATCGCGTGTGTCGTAGCGTATGAGCTCGGCACAACCTCGTACCTCGTGTACGAAGCAGTTGTGGTGGACAGCGAGGAAGCGGAGCTCGACGAGGCGAGCGGCGGTAGCGTTTCGCCGGTGACGTAGACCGTCGTCGGCTCCTGATGGAGGCCGCTTCCTGGATTCGCTGTTGCATTCCCGGTCCCGGTCGCTGACGTGGACGTGTACGCGGTTGACTGCAACCTCGGACTGCACGACGTGTAGGGGTCATAAGGGCTGCCGTACTGCTGTACCTGCACACCCGACAATTACGATTTTATTCTCCTCCACTCTCCGACGGCTCGCCGTCGTCGGCGCGTCGTCGAGCGATTCGCGGGTCCACCGTCGCATTTACACGTCTTCTTTTTTTTTAAGGAATAAGACCGTGACGATGACGCAGGAGACGCTACAATTGAGCAATTTTCGCGAGCCTCGCGCGCGGGAAGCGACGTTAGAAGAATTTCAGCGATGTTATTTTCTCAAATATTACTATCTTGCGTTAGGCTATACGTGACACGTGGTTTCAGCGATGATCGTGTAGAAATTGCAAATCTTTAGCAATCTTTAGCAATTTTACACCAAAAGGATAAATGGTTGCAAATACTTTTCTCGCCGCATGTGGTTAAAGGTAAACTTTATAATACGAAGGATTGAGACTTCTAGTAGGAATATATCATCAAGTTAATATTAAAGCACGACGTTTCACACGTTGTAGAAAAAGCGTCGAAAATTGGTGAAAAATCGGAACAAATCGAATGAACGTAAACGATCGCTCACGAGTTTTAAGCGGATGGACGCGTGCGACTTGGTAACGATCGCCCGCAGCTCACCTGCAACTGATGCTGATGATGATGGTACATTCCCGGCGGTGTGGGACTCTCCGGCTGTGTCTGTTTGTGCCGTTTGCCGGACTGCTGACCCCCACGCGACGAACTGAGATCCTCCGGTTCCCTCTTGACGCCGACGATGCCGGCGCTCGAGGCACCGTCGTGTCGCAGGGGCTGCGGGCTGATCGAAAGCGGGAGTCCCTGCAGGCTCTGGCCGGGACTGTGGGACTGCTGGTTGTACTGGAGGAAGTGGTGCAGCTCCCCCCCTCCGGCGCCTTCGCCGCCTTCCATACGATTCGTCGAGGTGGAACCGGAGCCAGGCGCTTCCTGCACCAGCAGCTTCTGGCTCATCACACCCCTTCAACAGTCCGTGAAGAATTGACCTTCAGTTACAGCTTCTTTACCGGTCACCGCGATCGGCGTCGATCGCGCCTTAAGAACGCGTGACGAATTTGCACTATGCATATCGAGATCGTTACCGCGGGCCCATTCGCCTTGCTACCGATTGCCCTTTATGGGAACCGCTATCCGGGCCATCTGGGCAGCTTTGATTGGCACCGGCCGCATGGTGAAAAAGACCGAATTCTTCGCACTCACGCGATATTGCGGCGACTGGCGTAGAAGGATCGTTAACATATTTAAAAAATACGTATAAAAAATACGTGTAGATAATTAAAATAAAGGGACGCAGGTAAAATTATCTCGTATTCGCCGAGCCTTAACAAAACAGTCAGTTGAAAAGTCAAGAGAGCGATCAATCAGCTTGATCAAAATCGCGTGAGAACACTGCAGTAATTTATACGTTTGTCATTACTGAAATAACTAACGTTATTTCGATCCCGTGTTCATTGAAATGATAATTGAATTGGCATCGTCAAAGAAACACAAGAGACGGGCCGAACTTTCCCTCTCCTCTCCCCGCGCCCCGTTGACGAGTGAAATCGGCGAGGAAAACCGGCGCTACACTTCCGCCGCATCTGCCGAATTCGGCAATAAAATTTTCGGCGCGCGGCGCGCGCGAAGAAACGCGATTCGCCGATCGACCGTACGGGAGAAGAATCGAGAGGATCGCGGTATTATGCGAAGTAGTTAACATGTTATATTTAGCATGATAATACGTATCCACAATACCGGGGACCCTTATAAACTGCCAACGCTTTCGATGCAATGCCGTCTTTCCCCTCCTTCCCTCTCGCCCCTTTTTCTCCACGTCTTTTCCGTCCCTCGCGTCCCTGCCGACGCGCCCTGACGTAACCTTCGCCAGGTTTCTCTCTTTATCTCCGTCTCTTCCTAATACCTTTACTCTCTAAAAAAGTACACGTCCCTCTCTCCATCTTGCTCCATCCTTTCGCACCGTCACCGTCGTTCCTACCCTACGGTCAGATGCTTCCGTACAATGATCTTTTTTTACACTGATACCTGATCTCTCGTCTACTCTCTCTCTCTTTCTCTCTCTTCTGTCTCTCCGGCCTGCCCTTTCCTGACTGTCTCGCGATACGACGGGAAGGGTAAACGCCGAGAGACCATCCCGCGTGGTGCGTCTCGGGTCGCCCTCGGCACACTTGTGCCTGAAGAGGTGCGGATAGGCCTCGAGGATCCGTGGACGAGGCCGGGGAAAAGACGGCGGGTAAAACCCGGCCGCGGCGAGATCGGGCACGTTCTCGAGCAAAGAGAATGTACCGCCATCACCCGGGGCCATGGCGGCAGAATCCGGTGCCTCATGAATTCGGCTTACGTGAAATGGATCCGCTCGCGCGCTCTCCATTCGCGACGCCTCTCGCGAGAGCGTTTCCCGATAATGCGATGCTAATCCGAGGACGCGCGATGCGAAACGGGATTCGCGTGCGCGCACCTTGGGAACCCGATACGCACCCCTGGAAATTTCGGATCGGTAGGTGCGAGGTATCAGATTGCAGACCGCGTCTGACTGGCGTTTTAAGCCTTCGGGAACGTAAGTTGTTCTGTGCAACTGTCATCAATACGTCTTCATTTAACTTCTCTCCCTCTCGAGTGTTGGATGAAAGTCGCTAATTAAACAATTATCGTCTATAAACTTTAAAGCGTTTTCTTCGCGGAAAATTTTGAAGTACAGTCCTTCTTGCATCTCTTTACATGCTCATCCTCTTTACACATTTGATTTCGTTGAACTATAAAGTTGTATCGCAATGTATTTTTATGAGTATCAGAATAAGCCTTGGCACGATCTTTCAACGTAGCAATGTTAAGCAACGTGTGAAACGAAGTATTTTTTCGTAGCTTCGTAGCTGTCGAGAGATAAGTATCTAGCGTTAGTGGAGAAGAGAAGAGAAAAAGAAAAGCCTACAAGAAGAGAGCAGAGAAGTCTAACGTAAAACGAAGGGGAAGGGAGTCAATGCACGTTTTAGACCATCTATTTAGTGCTACCTGTGCCATCAGTTTCGCGAATTATCTAGGCATTCGCACAGCCATGCGAAAAAGATCGATAATGTCAATAGAGCCGTCACTAATACTCAATGCAAGCAAGTATCCGTAGCTCCTAGTATACTAGGTCAAAAGCGTAAGTCAATGCGTTGCAAGTTTGTCGATAAGATATGAAAAGTAACCGAAGATATGTTATCGCGGCTATATAAACCCAACTTGTACACTAAGAAAAATTGTCATCCGATAAACCAATCAAATAGTGTCTCCGATGGTTAATTTTTGCGATAACGTTTTTCGATTAAACACATCCGATAAAATGCAGTTACCGATAAAATTTGATTGAAAAACCGTTCACATTTTTTATCGGATATACAATTTAATCGGACACATTCGTTTGTTATTATGCAATTGGATTATCCGATTATATTTAATCGGACATTTTTCTCAAACGCGCGAGATACTCGTCGGAATCCGTCGTCCCGAGTGAAATAAACGCCACAGAGGAAAGAGAAGAGTCGCGCTTCTAGCGACGCCGACCACGTTGACGTGCGTTCGCCGTGTTTTTTACCGTCTCACCTCTGCACCCCCTTGGGAAACGCCGGCGACGAGCCGGAGGAGATCAGAAAAGCTCGGAGGAGCCGCATTCTTTTTCCGTGCGTGTGGAAAATCTCGCTGATTACACCGGTATCCGCGGCGCGTTGTTCCCCTCTTCCGCGAGGAGGGGATCAATACGCGCCGCGCACGAATTCGTGCCCCTTCGCGAGCCGTTCGCGCTCGGGAACGAGTAAATTACCGCTGCGCGACGCGTTATACAGTCTACCGCGGCATTCCATCGTGGGGAGTTTTTTTTTTTAACCAAGAGAGGATGCCGCGCGCGCAAAATACGCGCGGCGCGGTGCCCGCGTGACGCGCGTGTACCGTGCGCAAGTACGAGCGCAAGAGGCAATTACCTGCTTACGGTGCGGCATTATAGACGCCAAGACACTCACCCCGGCGCGCGGCGGCAACGGCGGCCCGACACGTGAACCCGCGGGTCGCCGGGGGTCACCGCAGGGTCGCGGGCACGCACGGGCCGTTTGTGCGTGCGCACGCACACGGTCGCAACAATCTGCGCGGACTTGCGGTACCGAGTCTCCGGACCTCGGCGGTAGACCGCGGCTTCGGAACCGGAATCGGGCATTTCTCAAACCGGAAATCGGGCGTAACACGGTACCCCGCGAACGCGTGTGCGTACGTCATAAGCGACGGACCTGTCTGTATGTGGCACGGGACGAAACTCGAAAGACAGGTCCGACGAAGTGGCGCTCTACCGGCTGCTCGCTCGGGTCACTTCTTTGATTATTATTGCCGGTCTGCCTCTTTTTTTTCCCCTCCATCTCGCGTCTGCCGGCTTCTCGTACTCGCTCGCGCGCGTCTACGGCTTTTTTTTTTGGCCTTTACGAGCGCACGCATGCACGCACGTCGGCACCTGTGCTTAACAGCACGTGCCGCCGTGTCGCGGCGGTGTCAGCGATACATACGTATGTACGTGGACGGCCGGGGAGGAAATTTAGATGCGCGCGGCGTGGTCGACGATGTCTGCCACTTGTCATGATGACCGCCGCGTGGCTTTCCTAGTGCTTCACTTCCCTAGGATTATCGCGCGTTTCCTGGAACACGGTTACTGCCGGTGGCTTTCGGGAATTATGAGGCGCCCTTTGACCCTGGTCTTAATATCCCGCGATTTCATCTACGTTTTCGTAGAGCCATTCTCGTTTGTATATCCCGTAGAGCTGTCTTTCGGAATTTTATTCAATCCTTCGTGGAAATTGTTAAGGAAGATTACGATTCTCATCTCGTGGGAGAGATTCGTACGCACGGAATAGAAAGCTTTAATTGCGACATTTAATAAGGGCGTCTTATTCTAAGACTTATCGTATGAAAATGGTGTAAGTAAAGTCACGAATTCCAATGGGGAAGCGAAGATAAAACAATGTGCTGCATCGAGCCTTAGAGATTGGATAGTAAGATTTTCAAAATTGTGTCCATTTTTCACTAGAACAGCACAAGCGCGTGACAATTTCTCTTAAAAACAATCTGATTTACGCACAGCCTCCTTGACAGCTGTCAAAATTCAATCGTCTCGTCGCTGACAGCTAATAGCACAAAGTGAGCCAAGCGAGACAGAAAAGAATTCGTACAATTCGTAGACAAAGAGATTCGCACGCATGGAACAGAAAGTTTTAATTGCGACATTCAACAAGAGCGTTTTATTCTTATTGTATGAAAATGGTGTAAGTAAAGTCACGAATTCCAATGGGGAAGCGAAGATAAATAATTGTGCTGCGTCGAGCCTTAGAGATTGGATAGTAAGATTTTCCAAATTGTCTCCTGCCTTTTTTAAAGTCAAATAGCCCAATAGTTTCAAGCTCGTGACTTATCACGGTGCAAATATCCCAACGTCGCTGCTTCCTCGTGCCGGGCGAGATTACCACCCTATCAAGTGTTGACGGTAATCTTACGCCGGAGACACGGCGATTTTCGCTCTTGCGTAACGATTTGCGGGATTCGATGTCGAGGTTGCTCGTGCATCGTAAACCGCGAAATGTCGCCGAATAATCGCATACCCGCGAAACTTGATACCGGCCTGTCACCTCTCGAGGTCGACTCCTCGACTTTCGTCTGGTTTACCGTGGTCGTCGATGTTACGGAACAAGCTACGAATTCGCCCCGGTTCTCAGACCTCTGCGTGTCCTCCAAGTCATACGCGCCTTCCTGCTTCGCTAATGAGAAGCTACGCGATCCGGTTTTTTGGATCTGGTTCGTTCGGGCACCGTGAATCAACCCCTCGCGAGAAACACGTCCGTTTAATGTCTTCTTGACTTCGTCACGACCATCGAGATCGCGGTTGGAGCGCCGGATTTTACTATAAGTGTTTCCTGCGACCCCGCCAGGTCCAGGATTTCGCACTGCTCTCTGCGAGGACGCGGTTCGCGTTCCCGCGGTCGCCGAACCGACGGTTCTAGGCAGAGACCCGTAAGGTGATACAAAACAGACGGCGCGCTACGGCGTTTTCTAATCGTAAATTCGAGCTAACGAGATAATATCGCCGCGAGCTGGCTACCTCGATCGACCGATCCAGTTCTTGCCTGGTAATCGAGACCTCATAGCACCACGGCGTTGTCGACACTGTAACATCGCAGCGCACGTAATTG